AGTAATAGCTCCTGCATACATATCATTAATGATTTGAATATAAGCATTATTAACTACTTTCTTTTCAAGAACTTGATAGGAAACACTTGAAGATCTCAAATAATTCCTATCAATCTTTAGAAAAACTGCGAAAATCCTCCATAAAAATCCACACAAAACCAATAAAACAGTAGAGAATTTGTATTATTTGATGAAATGGAAACAGAAAATAGCTAGATACAGTTGTTCCTCAATTCAAGAGGAGGATCGATCTCTCTCAAATTTCTAGACACTGCTAGAGCCCATAGAAAACCTAAACCTAAGAGATCTCAAATAAATTCAAGATGCCTAAACCATAGGAAAACAAACGATTTAATGCATACAAATCAAAAGGAAATCTTTAAACATGCCCTACATTCATATTTCCCTCCCAACTCTCTAAAACAACCTTCCAAATCTACTCAGCGGCCTTCTGCGGTTGGATCGGCATATAGATGAGGCGGAGAAATTGCGTCTCTGTCCGCGCAAACAGGTCCCTATGGGACTGGCTGGACCGGTCTAACAATACTCCACTCCCAAAAATCCACCTGTCCTCAAGGTGGAAGGATGGGATGTTGTTGATAGCTTTCTTTAGCTGCAATGTTAATGGTAATGCTATCGTCTACTGGAACCAAGCTAAAGCTTTCCCTTCCAAACATAGGTTCGTTGTCGTTAATCTCTCCTCCTTTGTCACCCCATTCACCGAGATACATCTCCACCCGATACATGCACACATTATCATCCTCCCTTTTAAATACTGGCATCCCCAACTTCCTCACCCCACGATCACTACCACCCCAATAGGTTCTTCCCCCTCCAGTGTGGTGGTTGTCATGATCCCTCCATATTTTCCCCATGCATCGAGGGTGGGAATCCCACCTTCCTTTGGTCATCAACTTCCCTTGCCCAAAAGACCTCCCATAGTGGTTGGCGGCCCTACTGCCTACACCAAAAGATTTTCTCTTTGTTGTCCCCTCATCCAGAAACCCTGATCCACCTCTTATCGGAGCCCTAGGAGGTGGATCTTGATGAAAGAAACTCTCCTCGTCAAACTTCTCTTGTCCGATCTCCTTTCCCTTCGATTCGGCCAAGGGATTCCCGATCAAATCTTGGTTAGGGTTAGCCCTCGGAATCACCCGTGAAGTTTTTGTTTTCATCTCTAAGAGCCTTCTTAACATCTCATTCATGATCTCCACTTCTGGATTTTTCCTTCCCCTAAACATGTTAGGGTTCCCACCTCTTCCATGGCCACCGGTCGCTTCCTTTGCTTCCGATGTCGCCAGTTTGGTTTTATCTTCAAGCAATTTCTTCAACATCTCTTCCACTACAGCGAACTTTTCCTCCATCCTTTCATTGACAGACGCGATTTGATTTTGAAAATCAACAATCTTCTCCTCAAAATATGCTCTGAGTTGTCCAAGTTCTCCCTTCAAAACTTTCACTTTCCTTCCGGACATTGGTTCCCCATAGATTAATGTGCTCTTATACCAATTTGATAGGAAACACTTGAAGATCTCAAGTAATTCCTATCAATCTTTTAAAAAACAGCAAAAATTCTCCACAAAAATCCACACAAAATCAAGAAAACAATAGAGAATTTGTATTATTTGATGAAATAAAAATGAAAAATAGCAAGATACAGTTGATCCTCAATTCGAGAGGAGGATCAATCTCTCTCAAATCTCTAGACGCCGCTAGAGCCCAAAGAAAATCTAAACCAATAATATCTCAAATTTCACCTAAATTCAAGATGTCCTAACCCTAGGAAAACAAACTATTTAATGCATACAAATCAAAAGGAAATCTCTAAACAGTCCCTACATTCAAATTTCCCTCCCAACTCCTAAAAAAACTTTCCAAATCTACTCGGACGCCTTCTACGGCTGGATCGACGTACAGGTGAGACGGAGAAATCGCGCCTCTGTCTGCATGAACCGGTCCATATGGGACCGATTGGACCGGTCTAACAGAACCCTCCATATCACTTCTCTTGGATATTTATCATATTATTTCTCTAAATCAATAAATATCATAAGTAGATCCTACTTATTCTCTCTATATTTCTCCATTAAACCTCTCAATAAATATATGGCTTCCATAGTAGACCTACCCGACATGAATCCAAATTGATTTTGAGAAACATTAGTATCACGCCGCAACCTACTCTCCATAACTCGCTCCCATAGTTTTAAAGTATGACACATTAACTTAATTCCTTTATAATTCGTACAATCATGTGCAACACCTTTATTCTTAAAAATATGAATTAACACACTCATTTTTCACTCATCTGACATCTTTTTAGTCTTTAAAACAGTATAAAAAATTTAGTAAGCCAAGAAATTCCTTCATCTCCTAAGCATTTTCAAACCTCTATTGGAATTTCATCATATCCAACAGCTTTTCCACACTTCATTTTCTTTAAAGCCTCTGTAACTTCGATTTTACAAATATGCCAATAAAAATAAAAATCTTTATTTTCATTTAAGGTGCTTAGGTCACTAAAGTCAATCATATTTCACATTATTCATTAAAAAGTTTAGCAAAATATTTCATCCACCTTTGTTGAATATTATATTCTAAGAAAAGTGCTTTTTGATCGTCATCCTTAATACACTTCACTTGAATTAAATCCTTACAACTCCTATCTCTTTGTTTGACTAACTTATACATATATCTTTCTCCCACATTAGTATCTAATCTATTATATAAATCATTAAAATCTAAGACCTTTGCACCGTATATAGCTTTCTTAGATTCCTTAAATACCTCTTTATAGCTTTTCAAATTATCAAAATGTTTATATCTAAACTAATTTTTATAACAAATCTTCTTATTTTTTATTTTTTCTTGCACATTTGAATCATGCCACCAACAATTTTTACTATTAGGGGCTTTTTCCTTTGATTCTTCAAGCACATCTTTTGAAATATTCTTAATATCACTAACCACTTTTTCTCACATAACATTAACATTCTTATACACAAATAAAATCTTACTTTCAAAAATACTTTTTGTTAATATTCTTTAAATGCCTCCATCTCAAAGTCCAAAACTAATAATCGATGTTGGGTACATAAATTTTTACTCAGAATAACTTTACAATCTTTGCAATCTAAACGAACTAATTTTCTTATAAGAAAATAATCAATCTGCATTTTATTATATCTATTTTTATAAGTGATGAGATGCTCGTCTCTTTTTTTTTAATAAGATACTAGCAATTAAAAAATCATATGCTAAAGAAAAATCTAATATGGTCTTACCACCTTCATTTGTCGATCCAAACTCATAGCCATCATGAATGCTTTTAAAATCTACCTCTCTACCAACATGTCCATTTAAATCTCCTCCAATAAACTCTTTCTTCAAGAGGTATCTTTTGTTTTAATTCTTATAAGTCATTCTAAAATTTTAATTTTGAACCCATATTCAAACTTACTTGATGAATATTAGCACTTATAATATTAACAATCTTAGCATCAATAATAATTAGCATCAACAACAATTTTTAAAGTTATAATTCTATGTCCAATTCTATTAATTTTTATAATATTATTCTTCAAACTTTTATTTATAATCACCCCTACACCAATTCTAGTACGACTCTTACCCGAATACCATAGTTTATATCTAAAACTATCAATCTTCTTAGCCTTCTCTCCAACCCATTTAGTTTCCTGAATGCACATAATATTTATCTTCCTATAAATCATATATATTAATTCCATTAATTTTCCTGTAAGGGAACCTATATTTCAAGTTCTTATCCTAATTTTAGTTTCATGGACTAACTTCTTTGCCTACATCCGTCCTTGAAGTGAGAACACTTGCCTATTTAACACTGCACCCAGGCGTCGGTGCAATGGTCCTTGCACATTTATCGTCGTATTCAGGCCATACAACACATCGCTTCCAATGAACGTCCTAACATAAACACAAGTGTTGAAAATCAACGCATCTAATTTAGCAAAAACTATAGAATAATCCATGCAAATAGCTCAAATCATATATGCCAAATTTAGTTAATACATACTACATACTTTCATCCTCATATATTTCTCGGATAGTTAGAAGGGATAAAACAAATTGGGGCATTGATGTTCCACATTCATCTGGGTCACATTCAAATTATTATAAGAACATTAAATAAGTTCAAGAAATCGTTGGTTGTGAACTAACTTGAACCACCTACAACTTGAAACTTGCCAAATTTGAAATAGCCCAAAACCTCAAATCACCCAAAACCGAATCTCAAACAAGTCATCCAACAGTTAGCTCTAATTCAATTCATAGTACTAGGTTATTTAACTAGTCTGAGGGACTCATGAAGTCACTCATTAATTAAAAATAGTCACCTAAAAAAAATCATCAACTTGACTAGAGTATTCATTAGAGGAATTAGCCAATGGTGCTGGCGCTCAATTTGGAACTCATTTAAAGTTCTCTTGACTATTAAATAACTTCCAGTCTAACATATCCGTACATAATAATCTAGCTAAACTGAGATCAATCGATACATTCTCTAGGTAATTCTACTATGTATCCAATTCTATAACTCCAACCTTAATCCTTGCCTATCAATAGAGGACAATAGTTAAATGCGGACATCAAAATCTAATATACTAACATAAATCTTGCTAAAATTTTCCACCAAATTTCTCTCTGAATTATTATGTTGGAGCTTGGTTTGACTTGCCCTTCGAGAATGTGTTCAAACAAGTTCCTAATAGACAATCTACAAGATTTGACTCAACTTCTCTTTCCCCTTTTCACTCTTTGTACTAAATTCATTTCTCTAGTAAAATCTTAGTGTCTTTCTAGAGACAACTTTGGATCCAAAAGCTCCTCTTTCTGCATGTTTGATGTTTGTTTCCATAGGAGGGGCAATTTCAATTCAATCAATCATTGTTCAGTTACTTCTTAAATAAGCATCATTGGTTAAAAATATCAAGAACAACAAAGCTGAAACAGAAAATTACTTTTGTAAGCTGTTTTCCATGTAAGCATCCAAGGAAGAAATGACCCGTGGTAGCTGCCCCAAGACCTAAAAGTTGAGCACCATTTGACGATATATTATTGCAACATGCATATAAAGTATTCAACGCATGTCCAAAATATGCTTGGGATGGCAAATTATTACATACCTGTCCTGTATTCTTAACAGTAGGTGCTTTGGCCAGGAGATTCTTAGGAAGCTTCGTTAGGAGTGCCTGCAAAAGAACACGCAATATTATTTGAAATAACATAATTTATCAATTTCTCAAAGTTAAAGATCTGAATCTATTGTCATGCGCCAAAAATCACAAATAATTGCATCGATCAGGGTTTATTCGCATTAACAAATGACTTTAATGAATAAAAACTCTGTTCACGTGCAGTAAATCCAAGTTCCATTCATGCGTACTCCAATTCAATAAAATAAAATAGTTCAGAACAAGTTTGGGGAGAGGAGGGATGAGCAAGGGCATATCCCATGTCACCATGGTGCGTCACACCAAAGGGATAAGTGATCATGGATGGAGGAAGATAAGGGAGACTGGAAGGTGCAACAAGAGTGAAGCTGACGGAGAAGACATTTCATAGTTGCCACTGGGAAGGTCAGGCAAATTTATGATTTCAAACGAGGTAGTAACAAAGCAAAAGGGAAAAAAGAAGAGAGATACGATGATGATGAGAAAAAAGAGGATGAACAGAAGGGGAAGATGAGACTTAGATGGGGAGCTGACGGCCGATGAAAAAATCAAATTCATTTAATACTCAATCATAATTACTCACCATCCAAATCCTAGGGCCTTATTTATAGTAAAAAGATCTTTAAGATAATTAAATGAAATAAACTAAAATAAAATAAACATAAATCTTATCGAATAGATAACTCCAAACATATCAACAGAAAACTTAATTTGCTTCACTAATGAAGCGTGAAAATGACTACTCAATCTCATGTTGACGATGTTGATCAGAAAGTCCAAGGGTGTCATCAACTCTAGTATCAAAAACTCTCCTTCAGCGAGTTATATTGAAGATCCTCGTCTACAAGATCAAGAGAGATGTGCTGCAGATTGCTAAGTCAACAAAAATCATCTGTTGTCGGATTACTATCGAACTAGAATTGTTGGCAGGAGTGCAAAACTCCACCCGCAGAAATACTTGCAAGAAACCCAGGCGCATCAACAAGGCCTCTATAAGGTAACAGATATCAAAGTAGACGATAGAGTTAACATTCAGTTGGGAAGACAAAACAAGAAAAAATGCAATAAGAACAATCTTTAAAAATAGAATAAGACTTTTCTGGCTCTGGAGGGTCAATTTTAAGTTCAATGTTTCAAGCAGATATGATAAATATAAACTAAAACAAAATTTCCATCATTATTACCCCAAATATTAGAATGAACATATGGCACAATAATAAAATTTTCATCATGCATTACACATTTTTCAATGTTAGCAAATAACTCATGCAAATGAACAACAAATAATGCAACATAATCAAAACAAGATGCATGCAAGGGTAATGATATAATACATGTAAACTTTATATACAAAGAAAGCTGAATAACTATGACAGAAGTTAAGAACTTATGACAAACACCTAAGAAAATTCAAGGAACTACCCAATAATAATAACTATATCTCTCAATTAAAATAAGTATATTACGTTCACGAACTACTTTCTAAAAATGCATTAGGCCAAAGCAATTATTTGATAATATGATCCATCTTCCTTTGGTATCAAAAACATCTCAACACCAAGACTTCTATGAAAAAATTCACTAGGATAAAGTACAAAATTATGCAATTTTAATTCAATGTTCTCCATATGATTCTTCCAATTTTGTGATGGCTAATAACATAGAACCAAATGCAAAATTTTAATTAAATTATATTGCATATGTGAAATCCAAATGGATCAAAGTTTCAGGATAAGAAAAGATCGATAAACTAACAACTCTGGTAAGTAAGAGGAGATCAAGTTCAAGGTTGGATTTAGTTTCAGCCTCAATTTGGAGCAATTTTTTTATCAACGAGAAAATTTCATGTGTGAACTTAAATATTTCCATAAGTGCACATCAAGGCTCGTCATAGAATCAAGTTAAGATTCAAGTGCATGTTCAATTGTCAAATCATCAATTGAACATGCACTTGAATCATACCTAGTGCATTTATGTTTGCTTTGCCTTTCAACATTAATCCAATCATATTTGTATCTTGAGGTTTGCTATCTTAAAGAGTCGTGTCGAGGCCTCAGTGTCTCATATATTGCCATAAGTGCATATATGTTTGCTTCTACTCATGTGTTTTAGATAGAGTTTGTTCAAGCCTGTATACTTGTATAACAATCTCTGTTTTTTTGTTGTTCTTTAGCTCAAGAAAAGGACCAATTATGGGAGAAATTATTATGTGTGGAGTCCGGTCGGCATCCGTACTCCAATCAAAATGGGCAGTGATGTGGCCTATTTTGATTTGTGTCCGAACTCAGCTTTCGTCCGGTGCGGAGTGCGTCCGGACTCCGCACGTAATAATTTCTCCAATTATGGGATGTGTCTTAGCCCAGGGAAATGTTCATGCGGGTTGATCCTAAGCCCTAAAAGGATCATTTGCGGGTTGGTCTTAAGCCCAAGAAAAAAATTGATTGCCTATTGACCACAAAGAAATAAAAGAGCTTATAAAGCTTATTGATTTTCATAGTTGGCATAGATGGTTACTGAAATTCCCAAAGGAAAGCTTGGTGAGTAGAAGTCAGTGTTTGGAAAAGCCAAACCACTATAAATTTGTGTTGTATTATTGTGATTCTCTCCCTCTCTCTCTTAACCTAACAACTCAGTCATCCATACCTTATTCAAAATTGTCATTCAAACAACCCCCTCACGCACCCTTATGACTTCCCACTTGAGTGTACCCCGAAACCAACAAGTGGCATTAGAGCCAAACACTTTGTATGGGATAACATCCTAGAGAAGAGCCATGACACATCCCATTCACATAGAACACAATCTTTGTGAGGATCTACCATCATACTTCCCACTGTATTTCAAAGGTTTAAATGATAATTACCAAAAAAATAAAAAATAAAAATTATTTATTTTTGTGATATTAATATTGAATTGTGAGAAGTGGTGGTTAATGAGTACAAGATTCCATTAAAGATGGTTGATACTAAGATGGCACCTAAACCTTTCATTGATCTTTGACAAGATGAAATGCACATGACCAAGCTTAACACCAAGGCTTTTAGCCATATCACTACAGATTGGCTACTAATGAGTTCAACCACATGAAATCTAAAAATTGCTAATAAAATCTGGAGAAAACTTGAAGCCATCTATAAGAAAACAAAGCAAGTTAAGGAGTTTGAAATAAACATGTGAGTATAATACTATGATCCTTCAAAAATGTTATTGAATAAGTCAATCAAGGAGGTGTTTACTCATTTTATATACTTTACTAACAGACTAATGTCTACTTTAAGGAGATGTTTGCTCATCTTTTACCAACATGCAAATGAGCAAGGAATGAGACGATAGAGTATCGCATTGTTTCTTGGGACACATGATCATTTACCATAAACATGAGCATTTGCTACAATACTTCTGCAGCAACAAGACCACGTCTTAGTTCCACACTGACTTAGAGCTTCTGTTTGGTGATAGTTGGAACTTAAGAACTTGGTTTTTGAACTTTTTTAAGTTTTTTTGATGGACTTTTACCTGGATTGCTATGTAGGTATAGATGTTACTCTGCTAGGCTAAGATGATGTATAATTAACTCTTTTGTACTGTTATGATATGGTCAGAACAGCTTTGGCAGATTATACAGCATTGATTAGCTGATTTATACCAAGTTTTTTAGATTGTAGAAATTATACAAATGAATGAAATGTTTAATTTTTATCATTTGTTGTGTGTGTGTATCTTATGTATGTATGTATATCTTATGGTTAGTGCTTTGTCTTGTATTATGTCGTATTATTTAATATGAATGCAAAGTGGAGGTCCTTAATATGTATATTGGTTTTCAGAAAAACTTACTAGAAAGAAAAATATGAGTTTGTTAATATGGGGATGGCCAAATTGAGGTTCTTCTTGTCATAACACTCTAGCTCAACGTTATAAAAAAGTTAAAAAATTAAAATAAAAAAAAAATATTAAAAAAAAAAAAACTAGCTCAACGTGGCCCACCACAATATAGAGAGGTTGCATGGCGTAGGAACGTTTCAGTGCTTATGCTGATGACATTAATACAAGTTTTTTTAAGAAGAACCTACGGGCAAATACGATGAAGATATAAGAGTGCAAAAGGTGCTCAAAGGCATAACAAACGAAGTGGTGGGATAGGAGATGTATGAAGGTCAGTCAGCACTAAGAGCACATGGGTTTATTATGAAAAAGAAGGGTATTTTTTAGGAAAATGTTTGAAAATCTTAAATAAAATGATTATAACAAATTCTCAAAATATGATAAATTATGTAAAAGGCAATTAGATGTCCCAAGGCAATTTAATTAAATTATCAATGTTTTGGATAGTCATAAATAAATAAATATGATGATAATGAACATAAAATGATTATAATAAAATAGAATGAGTATTTATTACTCTTTCAAATAAAATATGACAAATAATTCCAACGTACTTTTCAGTGTGGTCATCATATAATGGTAAACATACGATGATCTATTTCACTGAATATTCAAATCTTCCCTTCTTGAACTAATGTTTCCTCGACATTACCTTAAAGCAAGAAAAAGAGCTTCTACCTCATGTCAAACTCCTTCCTCAATAGTCTCGAACTCTTGATATGTGCTCCAATAAGCTTTTATACTCTGCATATATCATTTGAGCTGCAATAAGATTCTCCTGATGTGTAGGTATAGTAAATATTTAATGTAGCATTAGTACTCTTCATTCTTGAGCACCTCAAGCCAAAGATTCTCCATCTCCTTTTCCAACCAAGCTTCCCTAATACTTACTTAACATGCATTACTTGAAAACCAGCATATGTGCTACAATAACTTAGTGCATTGACCACTACATTGGCTCTCTCTAGCTGTTACTAAACGTCCATTTACTAGTCCTTTTCTAGATAAAAGTCCCAACGCATCATTGGCGTCGATAAGAATAAAGTCCAGGACCTCAATGTTGATGACAATGGTATATCAAATCATAGAGCTAAAGAAGGTGAAGGATGTGTTTAGTTTGGGGAGGAAGGGTTAAGGTAAGGTAGGAGTCATAAAATGGGAATTGCAATGGTTATCTTACGAGCAATAAGTTGTAATTTTTACATGAATTAGAAAGATCATAGACGTCCGAAATCCATAGTTTTTGAAGAAATTTATTACTCTGATGTTGAAATAGAGGCCATTAGGTTACAAAGACCAACAAATCTAATGTGAGCTCACAAGCATTCATGGAAGGCAAACTTGGATAAGGTCCCAAGATTTCCCTTGAACAATTTAGAAGACCAATCAAAGTTTATTTTAAATTAGGAGATCAAAATTTTCCATGAGAGTCAGCCCTTATAATTAATTATAGCTCAAGACATGATGCTTAATAATACAGCTAGTTGGATAGATAGTATAGGTTTAAGATATCAATGAGCAATGGAAGACTTCTTCTTGAGGCTTGGCACTCTCGAAGCCTGTCCCTAACTATAAAGGTTAATGACTTAAAATAGGTATATTGAATGCCTCAAGAGAGGGAACTTGAGATAATCAAGTTAATTCATTTAAAAGTGTCATCATAGGTATAAGATAAGGATATATTCACCTCTGCAAGATAGGAAATAGGTTTTAAGGGGTAGAGGGTTATCGCCCAAAGTGCAAAGTGACCCAAACTCAAGTTTCCATCTCATAGGAGGGATCGACTATTCTTGGATAGATGAATATATAATTTAGTTGAGATGACCAAGGACGTATGAGAGTTGAGTATACTAGGGAAAACCTTATCAAGAGAAACTCAACAGTGAGTATGCAAGAAGGAATGGAACACCCTCTCAAAGGCACAGGATAGTCCAAAGGGGCTTGCTGACTCATAAATTAGAGATATAGACATAAGAAAGGTCTTGAGCACCGATAAAGGGTTTTCTCTTAATAAAGCAACCACAACAACAATAAACTTTTATCCCACTACGTGGGATCGACAACATGAATCATTTTTCTCCATTGTATTCTATTAAGAGTCAAATTCTCATTTAAATCTAATATATATATATATATCATTTCTTTTTATGTCAATATCTATCTTTCTAAACATGAGCAAAATCTAATACATCTACTCTCCTAAGAGGGTCATCGGAAGGCCAAAGATTTATGTGGCCAAACCATCTAAGGCGACTGTCTAATCTTACCTACCATCAAAGCTACTACAACATTTTCATGTATATACTTGTTTCACATTCTATCTCTAAATGCAAAGCCACTCATCCACTTAAGCATCCTCAACTCTACAACACTTAACTTAAATTTAGGATACAGTGGAGAAAAATGACCAACGTTCTGTGCCATAAATCATCGCAGGTCTCACCATCTTATAATATTTTCCCTTAAGTTTGAGGGGTACTTTTCTATCACACAATAGGACGATGCATTCCTCCACTTCAACCACCCGACATGAATTCTACTAATAATATCCCCATCTATTTCCCAATCGCTTTGAACAATAGACTTGATATATATATAAAACATGTACTCTTTTTAATGACTTAATCACCCAATATCATAATCTCACCACTAGATCTATTACTACTAAAATTACACTCCATGTACTCAATTTTAGATCTACTCAAACAAAAACTTTAGACTCAAAGGTTAACCTCCATAATTCAAGTTTTTCATCAACTCCCTTTCTAGTCTTATTAACAAAAAGAATATCATTAACAAAAAGCACATACCAAGGTACATCCTCTTGCAAATGTCTTGTAAGAACATTCATGAGTAAAGTAAAAATATATGGGCTTAATGTTGATCCTTGATGCAAACCAACTGAAAAGAAAATACTTGGTCAAACCCCATTATGTTTGAAAACAAGTAACAACTCTTGTAACATATCCTTGATGACTTGACTATAAACATTATTAACTCATTTCTTTTCTAGAACTTTCCAGAGCACATCTCTTAGAACTTTATCATATGCTTTCTCTATAAATATCATATGTAAATCCTCCTTACTCTCTCTATAGTTCTCCATCAAACCTCTCAACAAATGTATAGTTTCCATAGTAGACCTACCCAACATGAATCCAAACTGATTTGGATTTGGAGAAACATTAGCATCACATCACAACCTATGCTCAATTACACTCTTCCATAATTTTAATGTATATCACATTAACTTAATTCCTTCATAATTCACAAACTCTTGTGCATTATCTTTTATTTTTAAAAATAGTAACCAACACACTCATTCCCCACTCATCTAGCATCTTTTTAGTCATTAAAACAATATTAAAGAAATTTCATAAGCCACGAAATTCCTTGATCTCCTAAGTATTTTCACATATTTATTGGAAAATCATCAGGTCTTACTGCTTTTCCACACTTCATTTTCTTTAAAGTCCCTCCAACTTCGATTTTATTAACATAACGATAAAAACAATTTTTTTTTATTTTCCTCCTAATAAAGGAAAGAATAAATCAAAAGACCCTCTGACCTTAAAGAGGAGACTTCGTGAGAAGGAATGAAGGCATCGAGTAAGTTTTACAAGAGTGTGATCAATAAGTTCTCAACTTTAAGGCTAGAGACATGACTCTATGTCCTTGAAAGTTGATTTATAGTTAATCATTGGTCTCAAACAAATGGTTCAGTCTCGTTGGGGGGCGAATGAGTGATTTATACAAAAACAATAAGCTTGTTGTATGATTCCTCAAAGGGAAAAAAAGAGTGGTTCATGTACTGGGGTGGAAGAGTGTGGACAAAAAAAAAGCATCAAAGTTCTCAACCTCTTGGCCTCTCACTTTGCATTCTAACGAAATTTCGTCAACAGCAAATCACAAACCATGTGAAGATCTCATACATAAGACAATGTATTTACATTGGAAAACAGATCTATTTTATAGGCTTAATAATGCATCCATGCAATATTACAAAATATTTAAAAGAAGCCCCAATGGCCTCTACATCAGCTTATTGGTAATATAATGTGAAAACACTATAAGGACATATTCTGTTAAGGAAGCTTCTAAGAGTGTACCAACTAGCTTGAAGATGTAAAAGCAAAATGTCAGTGAAGCCCATGACCAGCAGATTACTCGTTGGTATATCTAACTAATATCATACCCTTTTTCTTCGAAATCATCAACATCACAATGCTTAATCGGAAAAAAAAAAAAAAAACGTTTTTCGGCCTTCTTCCTTTTTTAATAAACAAATGAAAACCCTAACTCCGTAATTGAACAACAAAAGAAAAGTTTCCACTCCGTTGTAATTCAATTGATAATATTTCGTCTACGAGAACAAATATTCAAAAAGGAGCTTCCGTTTAATGGTCCAATTTTCATTATGAGACGGGGGTTTAGACTAATTACGTATGGCAACTAGAACAGTTGAATGTAATTGAGCCATGAAGAGGACTGAGGTAATGGGGATAAAAGGGTTTGTAATTTGGTACCTGTGAAGGGGAGGATTCTTGCATCAGGTGTAGGAGATTGGAAGTAGACTGAACTGCCTGGCAGATCTGATCCTCCACCGTTGCCTTCGCGCTTCCTTCCAGGCTCACACTGCCGACGCTCTTAGCCATATCTCTCGCCCTCCCGCGTATCTCCGTCGCTCCGTGCATACACAGTCATTTCCCTGAGTTCATGTTTATTTCAGCGGATGAAAATAAAATTAAGGATTTACATATCATTTTATCTCATACTATTTACCTATAATATCTAAAAATTTAATATTATATGATTATCACTCATAAAAGAAATATAGATGCAAAAAATAAAATACTAAAATTTATAGGGTGGTAAGAATTAAATATATGAGTGATATATTTGATATTAAAATTTTAAATAAATGGTAGAAATGTAATTTTAAAAATTTAGATGTTAGCTTGGAAGGGGGAAGGCGTCGAATGGTTTCATGACATGTAATGGAGAAAAATAAATTGTGATGGGAGACTATTAGGAGAAGGCATCAATAGGATCAATGATTTGTGAAGAAAAAAGGGGTTTATGATAGGAACTCGGTAGGGGGAAGCCCTATATAGGATTAGCAATGCATTACAATGAAGAGGGTTTCATTATGGGACCTCGATGGAAGAAGGCTTCAATAGGACCAATGACATGAAATAAAGAGAGAGGTTCTCAATGTTAGCTACTGGGAGAAGCCATTAATAGGATTAAAAGCTTATGAAGTAGAAAATGGTTTTTTAAAGGACAATGCACTTTGCATAATTGCATTTAAACATGTTCAAGTAAACGTTTGAGCCCCCTATTTCAAATCGGGTTCAAATGGTTCCAACCGATATTCAATTTTGGATATGGATTCAAATATGTTCAAACTCATTTCCGATGTTTCGACTTCAAAAATCATTTTGCAAAATAGAAGTTGTTATCTTTTTTTATAGGTAATTTCAATTGAAAAGTTTTTTTGGACAGATTTATCCAATAAAATATATATAATAGGGATATTTCTCTAATCACATGAATTATGAATCATATAAAGTCGAACTTCTCCTTATAAATATCACAATCAATTTATTTAAATTAAAATACAATTAGAAATTTGGCATGTTTTTTTTATATTATTATAAATAAAATTAATTTGATTATATATATATATATGAAGTAAGATATTTTGAACCAGGATTTCAATTGCATTCAAATCATAGACTTGTGTTGCTCAAACACTCATGCAATGCTTCTAGTACACCATTCCCAACCTCAAATAGTATGCTGGAATCTTAGTTCAAACTCTCATGAGACCAACAACGTTCAAACCCTCCCACGATAAGTTTGGAGCAAACATCAACCGACATGTGGTATGTTTAAAAGAAGAAGAGTTCATGATAAGAGTTGTTAGGGGCATGCATTGGAAAAATCATTGTCTGGACAGGGTACCGAGTGGTACCGCGGTCGGTACCCAGTAACGTGGCGCTTTTGTATTAGTCTATGCACATGTTCGGTATCCGGACTCAATAATTACTCCATGCATTGAGGGAAAAAAATCAACAAATGCAAATTGCAGAGGAGCCGCAAGGACAAGTACTTTCTCCTCCGAAATCGATAGTGATGGAAAGCCATGAAATGAGGTGGGTTTCAGATCAGGAAACCTCACATCAAGGGAAGAACCAAAGAGAGCATCTAGGAAGGAGCAAGATTTGATCAGTCTATCCAAAAAGCCAAGATAGACTAATCGATTCAACACCATTCCTGCCTAAGCGCTAGAGGTGGACTAATCGAAAGAAACTATAAGGCAAAAAGCACCACAAAAAGGAAAGAGGGATATAAGAAACTTTCCTGAGCATGTAACCAGCGAGGCAGTGGTGCTAGCACCGCCGAGAAGGTGCTAGGGAAAAACCCTAACAGAGGGAAAGCACGAGGGAAGAAAACGGGGAGTACTCACATCGGTGGTTTGATATAGCTGTCTTACTATTTTCTAAAGTAACTTTAAGGTACAAAAATTTTTGAATTAAAAATTTTTGTAATAGAAAGCTGATTTACAAAACAGTAAAAAAAATGTTCCAAATAAAATTAAACACTTCATTTGAGACAATTTTCTTATGACTTTCTAAAGAAACTTTTTAGTATAAAATCTTTGAACAAGAAATTTTTATATTTAAAATTTGCTTTAAAAAGCCGTAACAAAGTTGTACCAAAAAAGCCTAAGATAACAAGGTTGACACCAATTTTATCTATAACTCGTTTTATTTGACATATTACAACTTATCATCATACATAATTAAAAAAACAACACACATCAATGGATAGCATTATCCAATGGAATATTAAAGTTGTCGATGTAAAGATCTAACCAAAAAAAAAGGTTCAAAGGCTGATGGAAGGCTTGTGAGATTTGAGAAAATAATGCCACAAAAAACAATACAAAATTTCGCTATATAATTCAAGAAAATAACGCCTTCTAAATACAAAAATATTGGGATAGTTATAACTTACAAATAATTAAAAAACATTTCATATTTATTTTCATGATATTCCTAGATAATATATACCTGTAATTTTAAATAAAATTAGTGTGTTTGGAAAGCTCTAATGTGTTACATAATTAACAAAATTAATATTTATTGATTGTTAGGCATGTGAGAGAGTGAGTCGCCAATCGGTCCCAACTAGAGCTGCACCCCGCTGGTCCCGTGTCGGGTCGGGTCAACCCAGCAACCCGCCGGGTCAGGTTCGGGTTTTGATTTCCAACCCGTTTATCTACCCGGGTCGGGTTAGGGTCGACCCATTTGCAACCGGGTCAGTTCGGGTTCGACCTGAACCCAGCCCGTGATCCGAAATTGACACCCCTAGTCCCAACTTTCCCTTAAGCTTTTAAAATATCAAATAATTGGCCTTTATCCATAATTGGTTTAGATTTTTTGTTTAAAACTAATTAATTTATTTCACCACTGTGTATTTGACTCAAATATCAACACTTTTGATCACATTTCCTAACTAATAATGATGTTAGTTGTGATGACTTTTCTATAACTAAGTGTTTCATACATTTGTAAGTTGTAACTACCAATAGTCTTAGTTGTCTTACATAATAGTTGAACAAGAATTATGATTGATAACTCTTATAAATCTTTGCTTTTTACTTATCATAATTAAACTTGATAAAGGAGGGAAAAAAAGGAGAGAGATTGATGATATAAATAAAGAGTTCTAACACCTTATGAGTTTTATCTCACATCAATTAAATAAAAAATATATTAATTTTGAAATAAAAGTAGTTGATTTTCACTTACATTAATACATTTTTTAATTAAAAATAGGTCTTAAATTTAGTAGATAAAATTGGTGGAAGTTATTGCAAATATCTTAAATTTGAATTTCATTTACAATAATTTATGCTTTTGACACATATCATTTAAAAAATTATGTATATTATTTTATGATGTCATTTAGAAAAAAAAAAAAAGGAGAAGAAAAAGTTGAAGCATTAAAGACTAAATGCTTAGCTGGTTCCAAAAGTCAATATGTAACGATTGCTATAATAAATACTAATTCAAGAAGTGGTAGAATTCAATGAACATTTTTCAGCCGACATAGAGTAATTAAAATTCACCTCATATCTTCAATGTATTTTGGCATAATGTTTTTCCTAGTTCGCCTAAAGAAAGATTCTTCAGTAGATAATGAGTAGGGGTGTTAATTATTGACACGACCATACAATCCGATTCGAACCCAAACCCAAAAATTTGGGTTATGATTGACTCGTAAAACAAACGGGTTGGATTCGTGTTTCAATTTTTGACGAGTATTTGGGTCAACCCGTTAACCCAAAATTGACTCGGTTACCAAGTGCCAACCGGCCTTGCGTAGTCGCATCCGCCATTCCACTGCGGCACTTAGCCCAGTACTCTCGCGTCGAACCGCGGAGCCACACTGATCGTCATCGCCCCACATTCTCGCCCTAGCCCTTGCCACCTCGTGGTTGCATTTTTGCCGCCCAGTCGGGCTAGTCGCCAGTCTCACTCTAGCTCTCATGTCGAACCGCAGAGCCGCGCCACGCTCAAAGCCAGCTCGAAGGCACGCCGCAAAAAGCTAAAGCTCACGCAGGTGCACAGCTCTCACCCTCGCTCAAACCGCGCTCAAATCCTGATCTCCATATCTCATTCTCGGGCTCGCGGGTGATGTCGGGTCAACCCGATAACCCGCACAGGTCTATCGGGTCCGGGTTGACAAACCTGACTCGTTTGTAAAACTGTGTAGAATTAGTGTCAACCCGTTTATGGCCGGATCAAGTCTGATTCAACCCGAATCCGACTCGTTGACCTGAAATGACACACTTAATAATGAGTTGTCTATAGCTAACCGAATGAATAAAGCTGACATTATTTGTTGTGCTTTGATCAGGGTGCTCTAGTCTTAGATAATTAATGAAATGACTGTTTTTTATTTTTTTTTTTACATTTAGGTCTATTAAAGTGAACCCATACATATATAAATTATACACAATATTGATAATAAAACTCCTAACCTACGTACCAATGCTGCGTATACTGTTACGCTTACAGAAAAAAAAATCATGATTTAACGCATCGGGCCGGGGTAGAGAACTCAATAGCTGCTTCTATATATAATTTAGTGTTGAACCTCAGAAGAGTTGACTGAGGGCCGGGCTTCCACTAGAATTTCTTTTCCTAGAATCAAGCAGTACATCAACTGAAACAAGCTGCTGATAATTCCAAAAAAAAAAAAAATCTTCGATAGGAATAGGATGCTCATTATGATTCTTTCAGTCTATGCGCTTTTATGAATTTTTTGGCCAGGTTAGCTATTCTCAACCGATAAATTAAATAGTCATACCAATATCCACGTCCTTTACTATCTGCACATTCAAAACACAACTTTTTTCAACAGTAATTAATATCCAGAAAGAAATGAAAGTCTACAAATTTGACTTGTTATTAAGAACTACTAAAATTATACAAGTACCATATACTCCATTCAATATTATTAAGATTTTGTTTGGAACGTATTTTTTACTTATTGTTAAAATAATTTTTTAGTAAAAAATTTTATTTATACTAAAAAATTCCTTTAAAAAATAATAAATAATTAAACAGTTCCAAACAAAACCTAAAATGTTATAATTCTCAAGCCAGTGACCTCATATCACAAAAAAATCGAATCATTTTCAAATCACAAGCTAGAACTATAGAACGTACGTTATTACTTAACAAAAATCAAGATACCAACTCCTTAATTAATTATCATAAAAAACGTTTGAAAATACACTGAAACTACTATAATATATATATATATTTCAAATCATTAATTAACAATATTTTAAAAATACTGCACTGCTCTAAGCTCACATGGAAAACAAGGCGACTGTCTCCACGAATCTCCATGCATCCTCACCATTTTCAACGCCTTCTCCTTGGTCGACGATTGCCCGTCATCGACATGAATCAAGCCCAACAGCTTCTTCACCGCTCCACAAACCATCATTTCGTCAACCACTTTCTTCGTCGGCAAAAAACTACAAACTAACCACAGCACTTTAACCGCCAGCTTCGTCTCCGCGTCGAACTCTCTCGCTATTTTGCTCGAAACCGCTGCAACTCCCAACCCGTGATCTGCAAAGACCCTTCTCCCCTCCGCGCACTCGCACAATCTTTTCAGAAGCAACAGCGTTCTCTCCCCTTTGTGTCTTCCCGCATCCGGAAGCAACTCGATCAGCACGCAAACCGCTCCGGCTTCGATAGCGCTTAGACGATTAGGTTTGGAATTTGCCAAAGCGGTTAAGAGGAGATCAAGGGAAGATGAGCTAAGCCGAGTGGAAATATCGTCGGAGAGGAGATCGAGAAGAGATTTGAAGGCGTCGAAACCGTTGTGATGGAGCTGGTCGGTGAAAGAAGGATTGACTGTTGACATTCTTTGTAGGATGGTTATGGCATCGAGTCTTGCTTCTGCGCTGCCGCGCTGGAGAATGACAAGTATGGAGTTGATGATGTCTTTATTTGAAAGAAGCTCGATGGATTCGTCGTCGTAGTCGAAAGGAAGGGCGTTGAGAAGTCCGAGCGCTTCCTCGCAAGCTCGGAAGGCGGTGTAATCGGAGGAGTGGTCGATGATTATGCGGCGGAGAGCTTCGACGCCGCCGGAGGCGATGAAGAGGGAGTGGTTTTGGGTGGTGAAGGAGCGGAGTTGTTTCAGGGAGTTGGCTTTGAAAGGGGAGGATTTGATGGAAGAAAATATGGAGGTAAGTTGGAGGTGTTGGGATGAGGAAGCTGGGGAAGAAGGGGAGGGATATTGATGTTGGGCGCGCCATGAGAGGATGAGGTTTTTGAGTGTGTGGTTGGGGATCAGGTCGAAGGAGGAGAGGAGTTGCATGGTGGCCGGACAGGTGGTTTTTTTGTAGGTAAAAAGCCATTTTTCGATGCTGCGGCGTTCGTAGGAGATGCCGGTGGAGACGGTGACTGGGTTTTCCATTAGTTCTAAGGAGATGGGGCATCTGAACATCGATGGGAACTCAGGGTCCGTAGTCATATTCTTCTTCTTCTTCTTCTTCTTCTTCTTCTTCTTCTAATATTGGATTTTACTAGTTTTTGAACGTGGAAGAGGGGTTGGCTGGATTAGCAGAGAAGGGAAATAAGTCATCTGTATATAATAAAGCAGGGAAAAGAGAGGATCTCCTGATATAATAACATCAGGATCATAAATATTTTCAAATCTACCTAATCTAAATATAAAAGTAAAAGGAAAAATGATTAGGAGTTAATTATGAGGTCGACAGTAGTATAAATTTTTTTTTTGTGATGAACATCAAAGAGCAAATGGTAATAAAAATAATGTTAGCATGTGATGTATTATTGAATCACCATAGCGCTAACACCAAAACTAATAGTTTAGTCAAAATTTTAAGTTAAGTCCACATGCAATTAATAAAAATAATAATGATATTTTACATGGATAATTTTGCATTAAGGTATGATTTGTCTTAAAAGTTTTTAGATTTTCTTAAAGATTTTTAATATATAAATAATTAATATTTCATAAATTTTAAAATAAATTCAATGATATTTAACTTTGTTTGATTTTTTTCTCTAACATATTTAAAAAGTGCAATTATTTATATCAATGTTTTGACATAATGTTTGAAAATTTGAAGGCCTAAAATATTAATTAAAATTAATAGAATAAAAATATAGTGTATTGATTAGAAGTGTAACAGAGTCAAGTCAACTCGAACTCGACATATTAACGAGTGCGAGCTTGAATTTGATCTTGATGAGACTCGACTCGTTGGCTCATGAGTTTGCTCGGTTAGGTAAATATTTATGAGCATAAAAATAATCTTATTTTTTAATTTATGTAATTTAAAAGTAAATTCACCTCTCTTAATAAAATATCTCCATTAATTTAAAAAAGCTACTCAAAGTTTTATTATTCCAATACTATTGATATACATTTATTTTTTCATTAATTTTATTTTAAATTTCTTTGATGAGTTAAATATTGCTATGTTTATAAAAACAATAATTTAATAAAATTATAAAAACTAAATTGTTCTTTTTAAAGGATAACAATTTTGAATATTGTATTGTAATCTCTTAAATTATATAACTATCCTGAATGTTATATAGATCTGCTTTATAATTCATATAAAATAACATTTTTTTAATATTTTGATATTAATATCTTATGTTTCATACAAATATCGTGTTATTTTTGAATAATAATTTAAAATCATCAATTAATTTTATATCACCAGCTTCTGAAGTTTTATAAAGTAAATTGCAAAATTAATGTGAAAAAATAAATTCATTATTATAATTACAGAAAATATTTTTTATCATAAAAAAATCTGAAAATATTTATAAAGCAACGAACAAATTGTAACCAAATAAAATAGTGAGAAAATTTTTCCAAATATATTAAACCAGCGTTTTAAAAAAGTCAATATATTTGATTCATTAGCGGGACCAAACAAGGTTGAAGTTTACTGGATGGCAGGAGAAATAATTAATGTACACCTGCATTTAACATCGCAACGGACACCAGAAATGTACTGTGTTCCATTAAATGCCACGTGTCATGAGTTGGAAATTTTGAGCAGTAGTGGGCGTAACTTCGAGTCGCTGTAGCTGGTGAGTATTAGGATTTTAATATATGAATATCTGGAATTCAACGGCACTTTTAAGCAAAAACTTTCCATAAAGCGCTTGAAAATTCAAAATAGAATGGTCTAAGGGGAAATAAAACAATTTAATATAGACCATTTTATTTAATTAGGTGTTTTTCGCTAGAAAGTCAAAATAAACAAAATAATATAATATTCTATAAAATAACTTAAATATTGAATTTTGAGGTAGCTGTATCAGAAAATAAATTTAAATTCGATTTTCAAAAATAAAATATTACAGATATTACATAAACTTTTTATTTTTTTAAAATTTTTTTAAGTTTTGCTCATTTATTTCTTATTTTTTAAAAAAATTAGGCGTTATCCTTTTATGATTCATCTGTTTTTAATATAAATATTTTTTAGACGGTATATATATATAATTTCTAATTGAAAAATTATCAGAAAATGGGCTATATGGTTTAGGATTTAGGATATATTTGTGATAACTTTTTTACTATTTTATTTTTCAAATGATAGTCATAGTTCTATTAGTTACTATTTTTTTGCTGTTTTTTTTTTTAATTTCTATAATAAAAAGTTATTTTTTACAACAAAACTGCTTTGAAAAAGGCTTAATTAGGTTTTTTTTTTTTAAGGAAATTAACGCTGGATCAAATTGCCAAAAGATTTTTCGTCAAGATTTGATCAATGTCATTGGATTTTCCAGCTGATTATTCAACACATTCTTCTCAATTTATTTCTGTTGGATTTCGATAGACTTTCCTTTGAAAATAATATTTTCAACAGATTATTGATCATTGAAAAGTGCTTCCAACATCGGTTTAATTACTAGCGGTATCAAACAGTTTTTTTTTTTTTTTGAAATAATTGTAAGCTGTTACTTTCGCCATAAAATGAATGTTTTTTTAATCATGAAGCTATCATCATACTTTCGCCATAATAATTTTGAGTTGTTACTTTCGGCACCGTCCGATTTGATTTTTAAATCTTTGATAATAATTGATTAAATATATTTTCTGTTTTTTATAATAAACAAATGGGCTCTTGAACAAACTCTAATTCATAAAATAAATTTTAAGCTCAAACTCGATTAATTAATCGAGGTCAAATAAAGAATAACTCATCGGCTCGACTCATTTACACCTAAGGCAAGATCACGACATGAGTAATAGTGGGGTTGTTGGCGTTTTAATTAAAAATTTTGTGCCTGTTTTTATAGGCTCAAACCAGTGGGGCCACAGTCCTCTAGTTTTTATGTATGTAAATCTTTCTTAAATTAAATTAACCCCCCATCTCAAGTTCGAATCCCCTCTCATACAGCACGACTCCTTAAGTGGAGAGAAAAGAACTGTGGGTTCTGCACCTGTGGGGTTGGTTGCTGGTAGACTCGCCAAGGGATCAGTGGATATCGCCAAGCGCATCATAAGCTGATATGGCAGCGGGCCGATACCCCGTTCCAAAAAAAAAAAAAAAAACTTTTTTTTTAAAATTTTTTAATTATTTTTTAATCATTTTCTGTGCCGTCTATAATTTACATAACCTTTTGTTTATATGAAAATATGATCACTATGCCCAATTGGCCGCCATAAAATATGATGAGAGGCTCATCATCCAATCCCCTAAGCTCGAAATTTTTTAAGTAGAGATTGATCGATCTGAACAACAAATTAAATTATTACTTCTGCTTGCATATTTCTTTCTTCCTTTTTATCCACCACCACATCATCCCTTATAAACTAAATTTTTTGGGAGTGGTTGACATCTTGATTGATTTCTTAGCTACTTCAGTTCAAGTTGGTCTATAATTATATATATATATAAAAGATTCCAAAAACATATGCCCTTAGAAGATCAAGCAAACTTAGCCAAATCATGTCAATGGTCTGATTATTTTTTTATTCAAACAATCAAGAAATTGTTAAATACTATTTTTTTTAGAAATTGTTAGCAGATTGAGAGTGAGCTCAAGATGAAAATTATATAAGTTGCCTATATGTGCTAAGTATTAATGTATTATAAGTTCTAATCTTTTTTTTTTTTTTGGTATGGCTATTGTAGTAGATTCATATTTGTAATGGATGTGGTCGTTATGCGTACCTATGTTGTTGTGGTTGTTATCAAATATCTATGGTAAATGCTTAGCTTGTTGAGTTTTTTGCAATTCAATTTAATTGTGTTTTCTGAAATTAGTATTATTTTATGTTTGCGCCTTACTGTATCATATAATACTTATAGACTTTAGAAGAAACTTTTAGCGTATCACAAAGAAGAGCTACAAAAAATTTATTCGAAATATGAAAGCGACACCATATGTGTATATTGAATTTTTTATATCAATTTTAACTTTATAGGAAGATGAAAGGAAGATGTAAGCTTCATATGTTTGAAGACTTGCACCATTATATGAGTCACTCATTACTTAAATGATCACATTTGTTTTTCAATTATGTCCTGTCGTACTCTCTTGTCCTATATAGTAAATGCCATATGAATATCTATAACGCACCCATCACGGGTTGTCTTGGTGGTGAAGAACTGGCTGGCCTTATGTCATGTCGTACTCTCTTGTCCTATATATTAGATGCCATTTGAATATCTATAATGCAAAGACTTTAATATAATAGTGTAAGGCCGTCTCAAATCGCATTGGCTAGATAGTATATACTACCTTAGCTTTACACATCTATTATATCTTACAAAATACTTCTCACTAACATGTTAAAAAGAAGTCAACTACTTTATCCATTAACAAACATGAAGCATCATATCCTCTTATATTCCGATCAACTTCTTATCGCTATTTCATTTCGTTTTTCTTATCTCAGTTGGTGTTATACATTGAAGACAAAAAGCTTATTTAAATTGCTTTTCATTCACACCTATTTTTTATCTTTATTTTAATTTTAATTTTAGCTTTACAATTTTCTTATTGTAATAACTAAAAAAATGTATTATATGTACATTTGTGATTGTTGCTCATGCGATGAAAGGGACTTAGACTTCGTTTGCGTTGGCTTTCATATTATTTCTTAAAACAGCTTTCTAGTTGTACAAAAATTAAAATTTGTATACAAAAAAGCTGCATTAAGAAGCTGTAAGAAAAATGTTCCAAATAAAGCCTTAGATGCTTGCCTATCAATAAGTTTAGGATTCGTTTGGGATGACTTTCTCTTGCTTTTTAAAATGGCTTTCAAGTACAATTTTTTTTGAATTTGAATTTTTCGTACTAGAAAGCCGTTTAAAAAAAATAGTACGAAAGCTATCCCAAACGAAGCCTTAGATTTCATTTAGAATAACTTTTTTATTACTTTCTCAAGCCTTTGTTGGGTACCCATGTTTTACTCAGACGGGCTTCGCCCACCCATGCCCACCCATGATGACTTTCGGGATGCCGTACCCACCTATACCCACCCACTTTCCATACTTTTTGAACGCAGTCTACCACGAACTGATGACCATGAGGTTTGTTGCCATTTGCTCTTATTGCAAACTTTTAAGTCACATATCAGAATTTACCATAGTGGCAACGTAGTTAAGTGTTGCACACTTCGTAGTGAGAATTGCAGTAATATAAGATATACAGTGATTAGCAATGTAATTGATTTATCCCCGATGTTGAGTACCCACCCATATCCACTCACAAAGTCATTGGGTGTGGATATAGGTACCCAATGCGGGCTTTGCTTTATAGTATTTGATTTTCATTGATTTCTTTGCTTGTAATAAAGATAAATAATTTAAGAAAAAGACCAATCAAAATTGAAATGCTTGGGAGTCTCCAGTTTTGATGGCTTGAGAGAACACCGAATCACGCGTTCTCCGCCTCCATCACGAGCACGTAGCTGTCGCCAACTTTTACAGATCTCATATGCAGTCGGCAGTCCAATGCATACTTTATAAGCTTCACATGCATCACTGAACTAATCAAATTTAGTATTAAAAAACACTTTTGGTTTGGCACATTGAAATTGAATAAGATGAATATTAAGAATAATTGAGAAATAATAAATAATTTAACTATGATATATGTACTAAAATGATTAATATTAGGAAGTCAAGAGTCGAGCGTGAATGTCATATTAGACGTCGAGAGAGGAGATGACAGTCTGTCGAGAGTCGAGTATCGATGCTATGTAATAAGCATCAAACATCGATGTTGAGACAACGTCAGCCCTCGATGTAAAGATAACACCGATCGTCAATGTTGATACGACATTGGACAAAGATGAGACATCGAGGCTATATAGGGCGTGATTGTGGGTTCAGAAATTGCTTACATTGAGCATTAATGTCAAGACATCATCATACTTCAGTGCTGAGATGATTTTAAAACATTACTGTTGTAACGACGTTGAAGAGATGACATCATGCGTTATTGTGAAACCCTAGCTAGTTATAACGCGCTAAAAAGAGATGAAAACGGACATGTTTGGAGAATGAGATTTGTGACGATCAATGGAAGTAGTGTTTAGGTGAGAATGAAAAGTAGAATGAAAAAATTGCAACTATTATATGCCCTAAAGGAGTCCATAATAATTAAAAAAAATAATAATATTTTCACTATAGAAAAGTTATTAAATCTTAAACTTCTATAAAATATAAATTGCAGATGAGAGTTTGACTTTTTGTAGCACATATTGAACCCATTTGAGCTAATATCTCTACTATATTTATCATTAGGGCAAATATTATTCAAAATATTTTTTTGATGGATAATTTCTTATATCTATATATGCAAGTTAAAATTTGAGATGAATATATTAAATTTTTTTATTGATGTGAATTATCTTTCTTTATCAAAATTAAATTTAATTAATCACAAATCATTTTTTATTACTTTGAAGGAATTTAATCGCAAATTCTTACACATTTGCGGGACTTTGAATATGAGACATATATGTTAAAAGCTTAAGTTTCCAACTAATAAATTAAACGCTTCATTTGGGACAACTTTTAACCACCACTTTTTTGTTGATTTCAATAAATTTTTTGACTATATAATTATTTTAAAAATAGTAAAAAAGCTATCTCAAACAATGCCTAAGGTGAATTATAAGGCCTAAATTTATGACATCTTGACAATTAAGACTTCAATCTTAATCGTTGACTATGGTTTCGTTTGGTACGGCTTTCTTCTTGCTTTCTAAAACAGCTTTCATGTATAAAATTTTCTTGAATTTGAAATTTTTGTACTAGAAAGTCATTTTAAAAAGCGGTATGAAAGTCCCAAACGAAGCCTATGTCTCTAAAAATTGCTTGAATTATACAAATGTGTCTGAAAAAGCTCTCACTTATCATCAGCTAGTTATTATAATTTTTTTCTTTCACTATCAATTAGTCATTTTATTGGTTCGTCTTCCATTCAATTTAAGCCCTACTTTTTAAGCTGGATGAGTTTTACCCGCTATAAACTGCTAATTTGCTTACTTTCTACTAAATGCTGATTCAAATCACATGCTTATGTGGTTCTAATTTAACAACTTTTATCTTCCTCGAAAATTGTAAATCATTTTGGTTTCAACAATGAGCGATGATTTGAACCTAGCCATTGATTTATTATTCTGTGCGGAGTCTGGATGGCATCCAAAGATCAATAAAAATACATCACGTCACCTCAAAAACGTACCGAGCGCATAACCGAACCGAAAAACCATCCAACATCCGCACAGGAAAAAATCGTCCAGCATCCGCACAGAATAATAGCTCCTAACCATTAGACGAATCATTCCCTCTCAATTTCAAGTCTCGCCTAATGATTCACACCAAGATTCCTCATGTCTCTGAAGTACTCCTTTGCCTAATCCAATTTGAAAAACGAAACAAAATAATTATAAGTTTCATTTCAGTAATACAAAAACCACTTATTACAAAAACAAAAATTCAACTTCAAGAATAAAAATTGCCAGTTTTAAACCTCAAACATCAAAATTGCTGGCGTAAATACTTGTATAAATGGCAAGTCACCTCTAAATAATGCGAACAATTTCTAGCCAAATTCAACCGCCGACAAGGAATTGCCCTAAGTGATCTTCTTCTCCCTTGCCGCAACCCAGGCCTGCTTCTGCCTCTGCCTCCACGCCGGCATCTTGCCCGGAAAAGCCCACCGCAGCACCCTCTCCCATCCATAACATCCCAAAAACATCATCGCAGCCCACAGCAACAACTTCTTTCCCATCCCTTCCGGAAGGGGAACCAGCTTCAGCCAGTCGTTCAGATCCCTGAACAAATCTGAGGTGATCACGACAAAGAAAGCCATGGCGGCAAACAAAGCGTACCGGAAGGGCCTGTTTTCTGATATGCTCTGGTTGAAAGGACGGCCCATGTAGTTCACAGCGAAGGTTGCAACCTGAATCATCAAATTCACCATGTACGATACAGTATTGACAATATTTGGGTGGAATTCAGAATCAGGCTCAATGCACTCCTCGGGCATGTGTTTTGCAGCTTCATTGACGGCTGAAATGAGGAAAATGAGGTGCATGGCGAACTGACCGAGGAGAGAGAGAAAAACATAGGCGCAGAAGATGTTCGGGTGGGGGCGGGCGGAGGAAAGCGTTTGCAGAGGGCGGGCATGGGAGATGAAGAGGAAGAAGGCAGCAGTGAAGATGCCACTAATGGTGGCTTGCATGTCTCCCAGCTTTACACCATCCAAGTACATTACGCTCAACACATATGCAGTCGCAAGGCAATTGAGGCCTAAGATCTTGAACATTTGTAGGGTGGTTACCAGTGTGCTTCTTCCTTGCCGAATGATATCGAGAGTAGGGGAAACTGAAGCGTGTTTTGCTGTGAAAGGGGAAGCCATGGAAGCATCTCCAAGTTTGACAACTGGAGCGCTGCGTCCATCGCTCTCCTCGTTCATCTCATCCAGTACCTTCTTGAGCTTCAGACGCTGCTTCTCTGCTGGTGATAGGTGGCGGTTGGAAGGGACTGGTTGGTTTGAAGATTCTGTTGATGGCCTTGGCTTCTTCGGCTTTGCAGTTTTGCCATCTACTGAGGATGATTGTGAAGTTGCATCTCCTGTTTGAGGTGGAGGCATAGCGTTTAATAGAGCAATGCCAACATGGGCCTGAAGATTCAATATAATTAGTTTATTACTATGCAGCGCAGCAAGAGATATAATTGAAAAAAGATAAATTAGATACAGAATTTGAAGAATTGTCAATCAAACAACTTTATCCAAGAAACAATTAAGTTAAGGCTTCATAATTCTCAGATCAAGAAATTTGAAAAAGAACCTAATATCATTCTGTTTTCCAAATGGACAGTCACGTACAATTAAAATAAAATACTCTTCCTTTTTCACGAGAGATTATTCTGTGCGGTGTCCGAACGTGTCTGGAGGTCAATCCGAATGTGCCACATCATCTAATACAGTATTGGGTGACGTGGCGCATCCGGATTGACCTCAGGATGCATCCGGACACCACACATAATATTTTTTCCTTTTTCACTGCTAGTTGACAAGAGACCTTGCAAATCAGTTGATTTCCTTTTAGCAGACTTTTTTTTGAAGGGTAAGCGTACATTGCCAAAACAAGAGAATTGCTATTGAATGCTGCCTACCATTCAATATTCATAACTTCATCTTCAATACCATCATAAACAGAGACATTACCTGCTTGAGAGCACCAACGTCATTTGTTCCATCTCCACACATCAACGTCATCCTCCCAACTGTTTTCAAAGTGGTTAAGATTAATTCTTTCTGCTCTGGAGCAACCCGTGCAAATACCTGAAATCATTTTGAAGGCACTTCAGGACAGAACAAGATTGCCCTCTAAGATGAGCTTGAACAAACCACTGGATCAAACCTTAACATAAGGGATGACTTGGAGGACAGATCCAGTGCGTTGTAGCATTTCAAAGCAGTCCCCACCAATGCAGAGATCATGGGAATCTGACAAAGCTTCCACTTCAGTGTCGCTGTGAGCGCAACTTCCAGATTAGAAAATAAAAAATATCATAGAATTATAGCTACTTACCCCATTTTTAAAAAAAATTTAAGCAAACATTGGCTTACAACCAAAAACAAACATTAAAAAACAAAGTTCTCCAAGAAAGCAGTGTAAGATGGAGAAGAAAACAGATTTGTAATTCACCGATCAAATCAGCCAAAATATGATGGGAAAGGTAAAGGGTATCAATTAAAATGATAAAAGGCATGTTTACTTGCATAGACCTTACCTGAATGAGATTGTATCTGTCTCATCAGGTGAAACCCATTTAAAACTTTCACCATTTGGTGCTAGAATCAAAGCAGGTTTTGAAATGATGTGAACTTGACTAGCTACATGGCAAGCTGTCAGAGCTTGGTCACCAGTAATCATAGCCTGAAATTTAAGAAAAGCGTACAAAAAGATTAAAAACTTGATATTCAATAACGTATTTCCAACAAGCACTATGATCACTACAAAATTACTCAGCAAGTTGGTAAAACCATGGTGGCCTGTCACAAGGTCTGAGCAATTTGCATACCAAAATATTCATGCCAACATATCACTCCTGAAAAAGCTTATCCTATATTTGAAAGTAAAATAATTTCCACCTGCCAAGCCTAGAAAGAATTAGAGAAAATCACGGCCGCTAATGAATCATTAGTAAGCTTCAGCTATTGCCATTGATAAGTAGATTAGCATGCCTAACGCACCTCCAGCCCAAAAAGACATTGAAATAAAACAAATTTCCCGATATGCTTAATTATTTTAGTTTTTTAGCAGCATTCTAAGTGGCCAGAAAACATAAAGACACAAAGGAATACCATTTAAATAAATTTCCAAAAACAAATCAAGCCTAAAAAGTACTAATATGTATTGAAAAATTTTTCTTGAACAAAACAAAGATAAAAATCAAAGCTTCAATGTCAAAATGTAGAAAAGTTAAAAAACAGAAGGGTATCAAAATGATCGAGGTCATCAACAGAGTCATTAGGCAGCCCAATTGTAACTCACCAAGTCATGTGAAGAGTCTTTGAGTTCATTAAGGACTGAAGCAGAGTCTGGCCTTATCGGGCAGTTAAAAACCTGTGAAGGAAAAAAAAGATATAGTAACCATGTTTGTGACCACACTAATTTCACATTTGGAAATATAACAAAACAAACACATAAAATAAATAACATTGGGATTTAATACCAAGGAATAGTATAAATCCTTTAAAAAAAGCAAGGTATTCTCACATGGTAGGGCCATTAAATATCCTAAAGACCAAGGTATTCTCCGCACCACTTCAAGAAAAAAAATAAAATAAAATTATATATATATATATATATATATATATATATATGGAATTTCATAAAATGAATTGCTCCCAAGAATTTTCTTTTTTCCACAGTAAAGAGAAGGCGCACAACTAATATTACGCTGGTCACATTCAAACTTGAAGCTGCACCTATAACCTTTTAAAAGCGTTCAAGTTTAGCTTCCAATCATTTTATAATAGTAAATTGAGAGTAATCAAATCACCTATTTATTTCCAGTTTTAAGGTTATAGGTGCAGCAGATCAAAATAAAAGTAAATGCAAGAAATGCAAAAGTGAATTTGAATGTGGACTTGAAAATTTTAAACAAGGATAGTTGATTTATTATCAATAACAATAAAGGTAAGTAAAGCTGGTTGAATGTTTCACTGTGTTTCTATACTTGGAAATTAAATCCAGTGGTCAAATAAGAAAAAACTGCTGGTCATAAAAATTCTGCTTCTTTCACATACAATACTAATAAAGATTCCCGTTTCCGAATGCCCACTTGCCCTTGTTAACAAATATCACCAACCTAGAACTAATAAGCTGCTTTTGTTTACTTACTGCAAACCCTGTAAAGGTCAGCCCACTTTCCACCACATCTCTGTCCAAGCTTCGAGCTTCGCTAACCTGTCAAAGAATTCATGTGATGATATGAGTCAGAATCTTAAGGACACCTGAATGTACAACAATGATAATTGTTTACAAAGTTTATAGTGAGAACCATGTCCACTAAAAATGTGCAAGTAAAATTTTCCAATGAGTCCTCAACATCCTAAGGACCAAAAAGTTGGTAATTTGACTAGAAGCGTTGAAGGTATGAAAAATCTCCCATGTGAAATATTGTGGCCAACATGTCAATATGCATGTTTGTTGGGGATATGAGGAGTAAACACCACAATGATGGAACAAGCAAGAAATAAAAAGCAACGGAAAGTAAAGGAAACTAAGATTTAACATAGAAAAACCCAAAATAAGGAGAAAACCACGGAGACACACCACACCAAGAAATCCACTATGAAAATTAGGAGAATTAAGTACAGATCTTTCTTCTCTCTCACTCTTTTCTTGCTTCTCTTGTCACATGCACCATTCTCACACTTGCCCTAATAAAAAATACAATGAGAAAGCCAAGTAAATAACCCCAAGGGACACAACACTTCAGAAAAATGAGAAAGAAAACGTTCAGTTCGTCTCGTGGTGTTGCGGTGCCGGTTTGGTCGCTGCAGCACTCAAGCCTATCTTGCACCGCTGCAACGTCATATATAGGTTGTTGCGGTGCTCTACTCTCTTTCATTCAACGCTGGGGTGCTCGGGAACACATCCGCACTCCTCAACGAACACGACAAACTTTGAGGCCCGAGACAACAGAACAACCAGATTGATCAACACAATCAGATTCCACACATAACAATGTTAACATAAACATTTATAGAAAAAGAGCCATTTTCAAAAAATAACATCAATTTAAATGTAGTCAAGTATGAGCTTTCAAATCTTAATTTCACACGTTAAGATTAAAGACCTTGTAAGCTTCTGCAATGTTACACGTTAGAGATCCTCACTTAAAATGATATAACACAGATCTGATCATTTTTAAAAAATCCTTGTAGCATTTATTTTTATTAAAGTGCATTGACTGTCAACCAATTTCATCATGCAAAGGTGCTTCCACAAGAAAAGTTAAAGCCCCTGGGAATAGGACATCCAAAAAATGTAACAAGGGTTGATAAAAAGTAAAAGGGAATAGCCATATTAAACTAACAATGAAGGCCCATATTCAAACCTTCATAATGGTGATTGAACATCACAGGCATTGCATCACTCTTTTGTCTCATACATGAGACAATGATGTATTTCCAACTTAAAAAGGGATGAAAATAATAACATAAGGTTTATGGAATTACAATTATTGACATAACATCTCCTATTAAGCCATCACGATGGCATTATCTTGTGGAAGAGCTCAAATGACAAGCAAAATGCAAGTCTATATATCTTGCATCGCCATTTTAACTTCCTGTGTTCACAATAATTACCAAAACTGCTATTCCTAGGCATTGTCCATCGGAAGGCTAACATAATCATTAGATAATCCCAATAATCCTAGAAGCATATTATTGAGCCCATAACAAAAAGAATCTCTAGATATTTTATTCAGCTGTAACATCCGTTCTTTCAATAGAATTATGTGGCTAAAGTCCAACATCTTTTTCTATTTTTAAGACAAGAAAGGATTGTCAGTTAAATATAAATCATTCATAAGCCACCTACTAGTTTCAACTTTCACCTTCACTGCCACATATAATAATTCAAAGTTAGTTCACATAAATGGTCAATTTGATAAAATTTAGTTTATTAAAATGATAGAAACCTATCCAGGATATCTTACTAATAGAAAGAAAGATATAAAGCCACTTGCAGAGTAGGGTATGAAGTCAATTATAGATAAAGAGGGCACAATAAGATAAGGACCAAATTTCAACATAAAGCAAAGCATAGACCAAAAGAAAAAATGTGAACTCTACCATGGAACCAAGGAGAATACTACTTGTTCATAATTTAATAGATGTTATTGGAAGGAAAGCTAAGAGAAAACAACAGGAAAACAAGAAAGAACTGTGCAATCTGAGTAAGAAGATTTCAATATCAAGTTAATATGATGCCTAAATCTCTGCATGTCTATAATACAATGGTCCTAATTAAATGAACTAAAGGAAGTTCTTTTGATGGCTTCTGTGGAATAAGTTACATAACAAACCACTAAGAAATTAGATGGAATTAAAATTACCGACATCATTGCAACCTTACTCAATGGGATTTTTTTTTTAAATCCCATCTAAAAATCTAACAATGTGTTGCATTTTTACTTCTATATAGCCTTAGGAGAACAGCTTCCAGCAAATCAAAACATAACCTAAACGCACTCATTATAATTTAATAGCTTTATTTACAACCAATCTGCTTGTTTTCAGAACATTGATTTGGTAGTAAATTATAGCATTTGTTGCTCATATGATACAATTCCATTAGGCAATTTAAAAATCTTTCATTCGTTTGCACATTTACAAAATACATAATTACCTTGCATTTATTCACTGTCCTCATAAACCAATTCAACCAAAGCTACATTTAGTACTGGAAAAACACAGTTGTAGTCTATATAATCCAATGAATGTCCTGCGTTTCCTAACGGAGGTGAATAACTTCAAAATCATTGCAGAAAGTGGAAAATGGAGTCAAGTTTCCATAAGTTTAATCAATTTCCGATATACATTAATTTTATGGCTAAACCAAGGACTTGTTTCAGCCACCTTTCTAGCCAGATATGGTTAATAATTTGCTATGACAAAGCTTGGTCAGATTTAGTGAAATAATTAACATGTTGCTTAATGGAATATGCTTTAATAATGCTACCAACTTCATGCCTAACATGATTTGAACGATGAGTAGAAGCAACAAATCAAATTTGGAAAAAACTAGTCATACAGAAATCACAGGCCAAAGTTGCTCAAGTCATCTAAGAAATCAAGCATAGCATAGACAAAAGCTTACAGCCATTTCAGGAAGTGGCTTGTATGCAAGAGCCAGAACCCGAGATCCTTGACGGGTGTACTTCTTGTAAGTCTCCACATATTGCGATGGTAAATTAATCAGCCGGTCTTGGATAGTTTCTGGTGCGCCCTGTCATTTGTAAAACTATCTGTAACAAAGAAAACTAAATCCAAGATGCAGAAACTGTAGCTAATGCATATTTCATGAAAATAATAGTTGATTTATCTTTTTTCAACTTGAACAACATAATAAGCAGAGAGAAGTATATTAGTAAGAATATAAGCTTTCATGTTAAAGTAAAGAAAAAACCTTAACAAAAGCAAAGAATTCCTCCTGAATTCGAACTACAACAGCCATTCTTTTTAAATGAGATGCAAATTGATATCTGTGTACTATCTGCACTCCAGTACCATTTGACCTGGAATCAAAATAAATCAGACAACTCAGAGCCAGCTCAAAAGTAAAGCAACATCACGTCTCTATCATTTAAAAGCTCAAAAGAACCCATCTACTTGGGCTAATACATGCTCCAGACATGAGCATGCACCAAGAAGAAAAAATTTCCCTGCAAACTTTCACCATACACTTAATCCTTCTACAGAAGACACATTAGTTTGCTTTCCAAAAATTAAAACTCCAACAAGTTCACAACATCAAAGAATCTATGTACCAAAAATTTCAATTGCTATTTCAAGGATCATAATAAATTGCTCCATATTTTTATTCTTTACAATTATAAGAACCTAGAAGGTACAAATAAATTTGTTGATCATGTTTGGGTTCACTTCATTTTCTTTTTTCTTTTTAATTCTGTTTTTTTGTTTTAAAACAGGTGATTAAGTCAAAGAAATATATTAAGCAAACATGTTTTTATTTCTTGTTTTGGGAAACGAAATAAACGTCGCTGTAATAGGAAAAATACAGCATAACGAGTGCTTTCATGTGTTTTGGTAATGAGGTTAAGTAATTGTTACAATTAATTAGCCTAATTGAGTTAATTGCATAATGACGATGCTAATTCGACAGTATAAGTCTATTTAGGGATTAATTAATCTTATAATTAAAAAAATAAGGTTTTAATAGTGTATAATTTTGATTATTATGTATGAATAGTAATTTCTAGTAAATAATTATAAATATATAAAATTAACAATTTCTTAAAGATTAATTAGTGTATTAAAACATGACTAGTTTTTTTAATATCTATTATAATTAGTTGGCAAGAATAATGAGGCTAATTAGGCTAGCACGAGATTGATAAGATTTTAAATAATTCTATTAAACATTTCTTAGTATTGAATTATGATACTTCAACCTAGGATAATTAATTAGAAACTTAATTGGCAAGGGAATTAGATAATTAATGAGCTATTAGATCTTTGTGATTTCAACTAAAAATGCTTAAAATGTAGTAGTATCTAATTAGGGTAATCAAGATAGAAATAAATAATTTATTTATAATTAATCAGAATGATTGATAACTTTGTGTCTAGGTTAATCAAGGATTAACCAGAGCGCTAATAAATTTATTAAGCGCTTCTAAATAAATTTATTAAGCGCTTCTAAATAAATTTATTAAGCGTTAAATAAATTTATTAAAGTTTTGAAATATTTAATTATGGCAATATTGCATGTTATAACTAATAATCCGTGCCTAGCCCACCTCTTCAGTCTCCTAGACCCTATCTCTTCGGACTCATCTAAGTTGCTATTTGTTGTTCAGTGCGACACCCAAACCTCGCTAATATTTCACTTACATGGAAACCCATAGCCACCCTTACGCACTCTAACATTTGAACCTTGACTTCTTATGAATCGAGCACTTCACCTCTTCCATATGCATACCAACAACAATCTGTCAGAGATGAACACCAAAACTTTTACGAGTGTGATAGGTAGAACTTTCACAAACTTCATCTCTCTCAGACATAAACGGCAAAATTTGCACCAAATCCAATGGCATATGTCGAAGTGTGTCTCATAGCCTTTGCAGCACAAGTCGCCTTGTGCTCCACTATGTTGTTGGGACACACCTCAATGTTTTCTTGATACAAGAAAATTAATAAAAATTTAAGGGGAGTTGCCATCTATTTGCAAATCATGTCATGTTCAAATATGGCATCTAAGGGACATGGATGGTAGCCTTCTTAGAAATTACAAGAAAAAATTGTTTGATTCTGATCCCAAACTCATGATTACCATGGGTGCTTCAAATCACCAACTAAAGTTTCACTAATTAGCTTGATGTGAATTTTCCAAACCTCTGATATATATCCCAAGGGACCAAACTCATGATCAAAACAAAAATTCAAGTCAAAAAACGGGATTTGAATTGTGCAATCAATGCCTCGGTAACAATATTTGCGCATTGAAAAACATATTAATATAAGCGTGTAGAGTACTAAACATCCCCACAATGTGTTTGAATAATTGGGAGATATTATAAAGCACATAAACATCTACAAAGGAATCATGCACCTACCTTTAAGTGCTCTAGCAACCATGCCAACACAAAATATAGTGGAGCGTTCTAATGCACCTTGAATTTCAAAAGACCACAAATGACCGAGGTTTCAAATGCATGATTGACTAACCTAAATGTCTAAAATACCCCTAAAGAGTCTCAAGATCATCTAAATATCATCTTAAAGACAAAATTACTGTAATGGCCCTAAGGTCCTATCTTATATATTCAATGTTGACTCAAGTAATCAAGAAGAGGCAAGGACCCAAGTTTGATCATATTAAATCCTAATCGAATTAAGAAACCTAGCAAGTTCTTGCCAAAATGTACATGTCAAAATATGTGTTACATCAAAAATCAAAATCAAGAAACTTTGCTAACCAAGTTCCTTGCTTATAAAGCAAGGTTATATGTGATGAACAGTTCACCCGGCCGGTCCCTCCGATTAAAATCACGAACAGGAGGGCATAACAGAAGACTCTTTTCACGAAACTAAAGGGGGCGGACGTGCGGATTCGTGCAAGAGCATGAGGAGAGTTCATTTTTTCCAATTTTAGCAAGCAATTGCCTTCAAGTATAAGAATTAGCAATTCCTTTTCATTCCTACCGTTAAAGAAGTGATAAATTTGGAAGAAATTTATATGGATGAGAAGAACAATCGAAAGGAAGAAGGTGTGTTGAAATTTCGTGCCAAAGAGAGGCGTCTGTTGGTGAAAGGAGGCATCTCTTTTTTTTCTTTATTATTATTATTATTATTATAACAATATTGTTGCTAGGTCCCAAGTCCTTGATGAGAGAAGTGGAGGGTTGCATTAAGTGGTAGACAAACAAGGTAAAACTTATCAAGTAATCATGACATGAATCCTTTAATACATAATATTAATGCTAGTGCGTTCCTTGAAAGCAATGCAATGTATGGCCTGAATACAACGACAAGTGTGCAAGGGCCACCATACTGGTGCCCGGGTGCAATGTTAAATAGGCAAGAGTTCTCACATCATGGACAAATATGAGCAAAGAAGCTAGTCTATGAAACTAAATTTAAGATATAACTTAAAATATAGATACCCTTACAGACAAATTAATAGAATTAATAAATATTATGATTCATAGGAAAATAAATATTTTATAAATTCAAGAAACCAAATGGGATAGAGAGAAGGCTAAAGAGATTGATAATTTATTGATATTCTGGTAAGAGTAGTATTAGAAATGGTATAGCTGTGATTATAGATAAGAGTTTAAAGGACAATATTATAAAATTAATAGAATTGGAGATAGAATTATAGCTTTAAATATTATTATTGATGTTAAAATTATTAATATTATAAATGCTTATGCTCGTTAAGTAAGTTTGGATGTGTTCAAAATTAAAATTTTGGAATAACTTAGAATAATTAATACAAAAGATACCTCTCGAAGAAAAAAAAAATTATTGGAGGAGATTTAAATGAAAATGTTGGTAGAAAGGTAGATGATTTTAAAAATATTCATGGTGGCTATGGGTATATAATAAAGACTAATGAAGGTGGTAAGACCATATTAAATTTTTCTTTAGCTTATGATTTTGTAATTGCTAATACCTTATTTAAGAAAAGAAATGAGCATCTAATCACTAATAAGAATGGATACAGTAAAACTCAGATTGATTATTTTCTTATAAAAAAAAATAGATCGTTTAGATTGTAAAAATTGTGAAGTTATTCCAAGTGAAAGTTTATGTATCCAACATTGCTTATTAGTTTTGAACTTTAAGATGAAGGAGGGGGCAAAAAATAAAAAATAAAGTAAATCGTTGTTCTATGATTAGATGGGGGTATTTAAAGAATATTAACAAAAATATTTTTAGAATAAGATACTAGATCTTAAGATTTTATTTGTGCATGAGGAAGCAAATGTTATGTGAGAAAAAATAGTAGTGATTTTAAAAATGTTGCAAAAAATGTGCTTGGAGTATCAAAGAGAAAAGCTCATAATAGTAAAAATAGTTGGTGTTGGAATCAAAATGTGCAAGAAAATATAAAAAATAAGATGATTTCTTATAAAAATTGATTTAAATGTAAAAATTCTAATAATTGGGAAAGATATAAAGATGCCCGTAAGAAGTCTAAGAAAGCAATATGCGATGTAAAGATTTTAGATTTTAATATATTAGATACTAAAGAGGACAAAAGATATATGTATAAGTTAGCTAAACATAGAGATAATAATAGCAAATATTTTGTTCAAGTGAAGTGTATTAAGGATAAAAATCAAAAAGTATTTTTATTAGAAGAGGATATTCAATAAAGGTGGATGAGATATTCTTATAAACTCTTCAATGAAGATTATGAGAATGCGTCTGACTTTAGTGACCTTAGCACCCTAAATGAAAATATTTTTTTTTTGTTTTTATTGGCGTATTAGTAAAAGCGAAGTTAGAGAGGCTTTGAAAAAGTTATTGGACCTGATGATATTCCAATAGAGGTGTGAAAATGCTTTGGAAATGAAGTAATTTTTTGGCTTACTAAACTTTTTAATATTATTTTGAAGACTAAAAAGATGTCAGATGAGTGGAGAATGAGTGTGTTAATTCCTATTTTTAAGAATTAAAATGATGCACAAGATTGTGTGAATTATAGATGAATTAAGTTAATGTGTCATACTTTAAAACTTTGGGAGAGAGTTATGGAGCATAAGTTGCGGCGTGATACTAATGTTTTTTAAAATCGATATGGATTCATGCCGGGTAGGTCTACTATGGAAGTTATACATTAATTGACATGTTTGATGGACAAGTATAGAGAGAATTAGGAGGATTTACATATGATATTTATTGATTTAGAGAAATCATATGATAAAGTTTCAAGAGAAGTGCTATAGAGAGTTATAGAAAAGAAAGGGGTTAATAATGCTTATATTCAAGTCATTAAGGATATGTATGCAAGAGCTTTTACTTGTGTTCAGACACAAGGTGGTTTGACCAAGTATTTTCCTATTTCAGTTGGATTGCATCAAGGATCAACCTTAAGCCCATATCTTTTTTGCTTTAGTCATGGATGTTCTCACTAGAAATTTGCAAGAGGTTGTACCCTGGTATATGCTTTATGTTGATGATATTCTTATGGTTGATAAGACTGGAGAGGGAGTTGAAGGTAAACTTGAATTATGGAGGTAATCCTTAGAGTCTAAAGGCTTTCGTTTGAGTAGATCTAAAACTAAATATATGAAGTGTAATTTTAGTATTAATAGTTATTCGGGAAGATTGTGACTTTTGGCGATCAAGTCATTAATAAGAGTATACATTTTAGATATCTTAGGTCTATTGTTCAGAGTGATGGTGAAATAGATAGGGATATTATTAGTAGAATTCAAGTTGGATGGTTGAAGTGGAGGAATGCATCGTGCTTGTTGTGTGGTAGAAAAGTCCCTCTCAAACTTAAGGGAAAATCCTATAAGAGGGTGGTTAGACCTGCAATGCTTTATGGTGCAAAATATTGGCCATTAAAAGGGAAGAATAATATTAAGTGTTTCAGAGATGAGGATGCTCAGGTGGATGAGTGGCTTTACTCTTAGAGATAGGATACGAAATGAGCATATATCTGAAAATGATGGAGTAGCTCCAATGGAAGAAAAGATTAGAGAGAGTCGCCTTAGATGGTTTGGTCACATAAAAAGACGGCCTTCTGATAACCTGGTTAGGAAAATAGATGTATTAGATTTGACTTATATTAAGAAAGGTAGAGGTAGACCTAAAAAGACTTGGTTAGAAAATATTAGAAATGGTCTTTCTTAATTTTTAATAGGACAATAGGAAGAAAAAGGATTCATGTAGCCGACCCCACATAGTGGGATAAATGCTTAATGTTGTTGTTGTATTATTATTATTATTTTATTTCAACAATAATAAATTAGACGAGTTGATTTTTCTCAACTCAATAATCTATGAAGCTCGAACAAATTGAAATACGTGTATGAACTTTTTTTTTCATCTTGTGAGCTAATTTTTTACTTTTTTATTTTTTATTATTAATATTTATTTTAAGTGATAATAATAATATATAATCACCAACAATTACATCATATGAAACAGGACTGGAAGCATAGTTTGCAAGTTTATTTGAAAGGCTAAGACGTGAATTAAAGACATGTTGATGGCAAAGAAAGCAATAAGCAAGCCCTTGAAGGTCAAGCCTGATGCCAAACAAATGATCAGCATAAATCAAAATTGGAGATCAGAGGAGCACATGCGAATAGAGACTCAACAGAATTCCTAGTCTTAGGCATATAGAATTATTTAGCCAACGGAAGAGGAGTATTCTTCTGGCAATTATTTTTTGACAGAGAAAAGCATCACCAGATTGAGGCTGAAGCTATGGGAAAAGGGGAACATGAACAGTTGCAAGGAGAAATGAATGTGCCATGTTGCGCTTGGTGTAGTTATGTAGCATAAGGACTACAACGAAGTCCATTTTTTCCCTATATTATGTATATTCAACATCCCTAAGCGAATCAAATAGTTGGGATTAAGCTAATGAAGACGATGATACATCACTCAAAGGCAATCTCATCAGTTCAGGTAGATTCAGTGTCAAAACAGAAATAAACCCTCAAAAGTAAAATAGAATGTTTTAAATCAAGTTATTACACTTAAGTTACTTGGGTTAGTTTTTCAGTTTTCCTTCAATAATGCGCATGCTTTGATTCCCAATAAATGTCTAAGCATGTGTGTGCGAGTCTTGAGAAAGATAGAGAATGGAATACAATTTAAGAAACAGCAAGGAATAGTAAAATAGAAATTAGGTAAAATATATCATGTCTGTGAATCGCCATGATTGAAAAGGAAAAAAGAGAAGTAGGGACAAACAGCTTAAGAAATCACTTTTTAGGCATGGCCTTCTCATCTGATGTGTAAATCCAGTCTATTCCTTTTAGTGCTGCCTTCTCAAGAGGATCACCAACCTACATAAAAAATGAGAATTATCAGAACCAAGATGCTGATGTTAAAAATATGGATGTCGTAGACTAGTTGGAAAATACAAAATAAAACCATACCAGTTTATTATCTACAAACACCAATGAATGACATGCAGAAAGTACTTCAACAGTTCGTCTAGGCAATTTAGTCACATCTGACTCCAAATCTGGATTACTTGTTGACGCAACAACTCCACAAAACTCCTGGTTAAAAAAAAAAATGAATATTCTAAGAAAAAGTTGCATAGCGAGCTAGTGCTTAAATCATGAGCATCATACCATGTCATCTGATGTAAGAGTTCCTGTTTTATCAAAGCAACATATGTCAACCTGCAGAATGAAATTCCTCAATTAGATTGTGACTATTATTAATTTACAAGGTAATATATTTGCGTTTGTAACAAACCTTCCCAGCAAATGGTATTCTGAATGGTTCTGTGCAAAAAATGCCACGGCGTGCTAATGCAATCAAAGATGTATTTACAGCTATTGAAAGCTCCATTGGTAGCTCAGGGGGGATCACTGAAGTGATTATCAAAGAGCAGCTTAAAATAAGCTTGTATTTGCTCCTTGTTGGGTCCTCCAATCCCTACAAGATCATAAAATGTTGATGCTTTAACCAAAGACTAAATAAGTATTGCTGTTTCTAAAATATTCTAAAGTACTTGGAAACCAGTCTAATCTTGCAGCATCTCCAAAGCTTCATTTTACCTTCTTAAGTACATAGCCAGCAGCAATGATGGCAAAGAAAACTAAAAATAAAATGAATAGTCCACTTTCCCGACTATTTGCAGTCACCTGAAACAAAAACATCATAAGAAACAGTACCCTTAACTTTGTCACTGGGTGCATGAACTTCAAAAGGATAATTATTACCCTTTCAGTAGAAAACAAGATAGTTCGCATCAATTTTCCTTGACTTGTTTCAAAACCAGTTCGTAGTACAACAGCCACACATCCCCCATCCGGTGTTTTCAGATGAAATGACTGTAACTCTGAAGTCAGTAATGCAGAACAGCAAAAAGCAAATAACATGGTTGGATGTACCTTATCTTGAGTGTGCTGCAACATCTTTGTTCCACCAAACAGGATATGATTTTTATCTCGCCTAATGGACAATCTCTCCTCTGTACCCCTGCCAGCAATTGATGTCTGAAACAATAAAGGTAAAAAGATTCAATATATTAAACAGTTTTCTCAAGGAATATCCTATCTAAGAGAACACACACAAGAACGGGCATTAAAGAAAGACAAACATTTACATATTCAAAATGTATCAGTAAGAAAGCGGAAGTTCTTGATTTATAATCGCTAAAGGTTGTTTATTAGAATGTTCCATGTTAGTGGCATCATCAATAAGCGTGATGGCAACTTCCAATTAAGGTGAATGAAATCAATATGAATCAATTATTATGCACCATCATTATCCATTTTCAGCTCTTGTATTTCTTCTTTAGTGAGGATGAGTATAATGTTTGAATAACTTTCCTTTCTTATTGTGTTATATAACATTTAGTATGGCCCTCTGCTTAAGAAAAAATACACATCATCAACTCGAATGATATCATTTATTGTTTCTTCTATTCCTCCAAAGTTATCTCTTTCCTTTTCTTCAAAGGACTTAAATTTTTATACTTTTTCTTTTCCTCCGAGATTCCCTCTTTCCAAGGTTCTAAAACTTGGTGCGTGATAAAGTTTCAATTCCAAAAAGGTTTGAAGTTTGCATTTCTATTTCAGCATTAATTGCATTCATGTTTGTAATATAATTCACTATTTAAAGTGAATGAATTTTAATGAAACATAAAACCATTTAAGTTTGCTCTTATAGAGCCTTTTATTTATTCTTCAAAAATAAAAATGTATGATTGAGAAGAGGCAAGTGCCCCTTGACAAAGTGGTTGGTTTGATTGTAATGAAGCAATTATATTATAGTCTGCCTAAACCTGGATCTTGCTTAATGGCTAAGCTTATGAGTTGCAAATCATAAGGCGTACTTAAAAAGCCATGAGGCTCTCTATTAGTCAAGGTCGGCTTAAAGCTCTCTATTAGTCAAAGTCAGCTTAAAATTGACATTGGATATTCTATATATCTTCTTTTCTATCTACTTTCACTAAAACAAAAATATAAATTATAAAAAATTGCAGCTTTTAACACTAGGATGATGTATGAAGTTATATGATTAACCATTCTGCCAATGAGCTCTAGCTCGGCCAACATGCTCCTAGGTTCCTAGATAAAGGTCAGGAGTTCAAGTTTTAACTCTAATGTGCTTTTTAAGCTGTGCATGTAAGACAATTATTATGTTTCCTGGCTCCCTGAGTAGAGTTCATTTGCCTATTATTGACCTTGTGCCCAAGAAATCACACTTAAAATATATGTGATATATTTCTATACTTTTGAAAAAACAAAAGATCTTTCAAACCTATTTTATCGCAGAGTTACCTTCATTTCGCTAGTTTCTTTACCCTGTTATTCAACAGCTAAAAATGTCTCAGCACTTTACCCGCTTCCTCCATGCTTTATCTACCAAGAACTAAACACAAAAATTTATTTATACAGTTTCTCACATACGACACTTTTTACTTTAATTTTGTTGAAAAAAAAAACTATTTTTTTTTCTCTTTGAAGTTTTAAGAGATAAATCTTCATTACTAAGAAATCGCTATTTCAACAAGGGTGTATATAAATAATCTCAATTTTTATTTAGGGTTAATGAGGCCAGGCTTTTTCGCCATTTTCCAGATTAATATCCTTTGGCCAACATAAATCACCCAAATCAACTCCTCAAAAAAGGAACAATTATTGTTATCATCAAACCTGCCTATAACGAAATTAATTCCTATAAAATATCATGAACCACACAAAAGGAAGCTAATGAATTTGCATTATAGATCTTCTATATCATTATGAGTATGATGATACCTAATTCAGTTCTGCGCAAAAAATAATCTAAAACTAATAGATCCTGCATGAAAACATTGACCAAAGTTCATTTCATTTGTGGAAAATCATGGACAAACAAAAAATCAACCTGCATTTAATGCAAATCACAGGATGAATATGAGCATTTCGACTATAGTCACATTCACTCTTTAAATTACTAATCTACTAGTAAAACTGCAGAAAAAAATTTAACAAATAATAGAAAAGAGAGCACCTTCCACTGAGGAGTAGACTCGCCTGTGAGTATGGCTTCATTCACTATCGCACTTCCAGCTAATAAGAGCATGTCAGCTGGTACAGACTTATCATCCCCGTTTTGATTGGAGCGCCCAATTGAAATAACATCTCCAGGAAGAAGGTCTGTCCCAGATAGCTTCACCCACCTGACTCAGAATGCGTAAGGATTGCATTTAAATAATTAATTTGTAAGAAAATCAGAATTTGCTCTATGGATTATTGGCATAAGCTTACTTGCCACATCGATAAACCATTAGTGTCTGACCATCAACTCTTACACGTCTAAGTTCAGTCAGGGTTTTCAATCGGCTCTTTACCATTGTTGACTCGAAAAGAAAAAGCATAAATAGTGTGAACAAGCTGTAATACCAATATTCATCTAAACACCAGAGGCCCACACAAAATACCTGAGCATAGACCAAGTAAATGTAAGCATTTGAACTAAAGGTTATGAATTTAACAGTTTCAAGCAAATTAACTGAGGAAACCTACTTGAAACACAAAGAATGGCTCCATGCATTGCTCTTTCATTAACTTCTGAAATGTTGGCTGGGGATACTCAAATCTATTCAACAAAAAAAAAAAAGGAACTTACGGAGCTCACATACAAATATATAGCTTCAATATAAACGGGGGGACTGGAGAGTCAGAAAAAAAAAAAATCTGCTTCGTACATACATCCCTACACTGTATTAAAAGTAGGAAGAAGCATTATATAAAAGCATTGGAAGCCCAACACAAAGACAAACAGAATCGTGTGCTTTGAAAGTGAAGCGTTGCACTATGAGCATAATGCTTGACCAAATATGCTGCCCAAATTATCAATAACTCCAGAACATAGAAGTATACTTCCGTTATGCATCTTACCATTTTTTCTATCATACGTAGATTTTATTTTCTTTTCTGCAATCATGGGTTATTTACCTTTTGCATAGCTTTCAACCTGGTTTCTTTTCTCGTCTTTCTGTTGTAGCTTGGGCTTTAATTTCTCTGATCGAAGACTTCTATTTTCCTGATGTTCTAAATTTCATAGCCTTTTCCCAATGTAATTATAGTTCTTCAGGGTTAGAGTATTGAAACTACAATCAGACGTTTCAAAACAGGAATCATATTGCACAGTATTTTCGGCTGGCTGTATTATGAGTGCATGCACAGTCCAACTTATTTTTTCAGCATGCATGTTGCCAACAACTTAATGATGCTGTTAGGCCTGCCGAAGAGGGGCCAACTACTCGTATTGAACCGGTCCCTAGTAGACCGGTTTAGTACTACAACCGCCGGCCCAGGGAAGGGAGAGAGAAGGGGCTGGCTGCTCCTATGGCACCCACACCTTGATTAAAGATTGCTTTGGAGGGAAATATTTGAATTAGGGGCTGTTTAGGAATTTTGTATTTCTCCTTTGGCTTTTTAATTAGTTACTAATGCTAGAATTAAGATTTCATCTTGAATTAGAATCTGAATTGGAAATTTAAGATTTCTTGTGTGATTGGGATCTAGTCTCTCGGCTAGAGATTTGGAGAGTCGTTTCTTCCTATCAAATTGAAGAAACGTGTATCTTTAGCTGTTTTTCTGCATCTGTTAGTGGAATTCTTCATTTTTCTCTCAGATTTTCTTAGTTTTCTCAATGTTGCTGCTATCAAGTTGCTGTTTTCTGAAGTTATTCTGCTTTTGAGTATTTGTTTTCTACCAGATACCTAATGCAAATTTGGAAATGATTTACCTGAGTCCTCTTAATGATAAAGCACCATGTTATAAGTACCTAATTAGCATTAGTAAAATAATTGCTTGTTATTGGAGAAAAACTTTACATTGTTTCTTTAGGGAACAAAGTAATTAATTAATTGCACTGATATTATAAATTTTGAAAGAAAGTAAAAAAGGGTGCTTTAAATAATTAAAGTGACAGTTTGCTTGGCCATTTGTGCTCAAAAATAGAAAAAACTGTATATACTTGAGGATTAACGAAAATGTGCAAAAAGAATTGATAGAGTATGTTCTTTGAACCCATGCTATGAAGTTGACTGATGGTAAAAAGACAAATGTCCCGCAACACCCAAGCCTTGCTTAACAGGTCCCATGCAGACATGATTTCATGTTGTTTGCATCATAAATCTAATTGGTTCATACTTCAGGTTAGTTATCACTGCCCACAGCGATTTATTAAGCAAGGCCCCAGTACAGTGCCAAAAATTCACAATGGAAACACATCAAATGCCAATACAAAGTCAAATGCTCGGCGCATGATATGCATAGCAATGTCCTTCCTATGTTTGTCATGATAAGAAGGTCAAGCGTTACCAACGTATTTGGTATTTGCCATTTGGAATGAAGATCAAGATGAACATAATTAAATGCATCTTATCCATCACCAACAATTTAAAATCAAAGTGCAAAAACTGTTCATGCAGCTTTTATGGAAATTTTAGAGCAAAAGAATGCAAAAAACCACACCACAATGTCAAACGTTAATACGCTATTAAGTACCGACATTTATACAAGGTCATGTTAACACTGTTTTACATGCGATTTGATGTGTCTCCTATTTTATTTCTATGAAAATTTTTCAACACTTCTTAAGCATCCTTGGACAAGATATAAGCACGTGTTCAACAAAAATTAAAAGGGAAATTTACATACATACCACTTTATTTTATGTTATTTACATATCTAACACCTAAAACATTAATATTATATACCTACCACCCATATACAATTTTAATATCAAATATACCACTCATATAATTCATTTATATCATTCATACAATCCTATAAACTTTAATATTTCATTCCATGCACCCAAATTTGTTATATGGGTGGTAATCATGTAATATTAATGTATTTATTTTTGGAAATTTGAATTATATGTTAATGAAAAGAATACTGGGATTTGGGAAAGATAGAATTTTGAGTTGAACTATATTTCATGTTGTCTTATTATTGGGATATTTTAATTTCACTTCATATCTTATGCTTTTTTATGTTTTATATTATTCACTCATTAATATATAAAAAATTTATCATTTTATGTTTACGCAATCTTTTGATTTTGAGGCTTACGCCACGCCTCACGAATAAAAAATGCCTAAATACCCGAATACGCAATTTTAAACATTGTACATACCAGATCAATCTTATGTCAATTCCCACTTCCATTTTTCTATTCAATTACTCTTTATAATATTTGTGATGCATTTACTGTATTTGCGATATGATCAAACTGCAATTAATTATTAAGAATAAAAAACAAACACACAGTTCATATAAATGCCCAATTCAGGAATTTTAAAGATTTTCCATGCTGATAGGCCTATATCATACTCATGTTTAAAGTCAGTGCCTTGCTTCATGCCAGCAGAAGTATCTAAATACTGGTCCCAGCCTGTCCCTCTAATGAAGGAAAACAATTTTGATGAAAAGAATCAAGAAATGAGCTCCTTCACACCAAACAGTCAGACAACACTATCACTCACACAAAAAACAACAAAAAGAAAAAAAAAAACCTACAACACTATCAAGATGTAAAGTGAGAGATGAAATAACTAAGATTCTATGGTTTATTAATAAAAATCTAGTATTAGATGTATAAAGAAACACGCAAACAAGCACAATTAGAGTTTCCCAACTTTTAATTTAGATAAAGAATAACCGAATTTGATTCAAAACCAAAAAAACATGTTTACTTCCCTCAAAAAAATAATCTAAAAAAAAAACATCTGAAATTTTTGTAACGAGGTTTGAGAAGAAATTTAAATTTCACAAAAAAAAAAAACTGCATGTAACGAATTTGATCAAAACTAAATCATGCCAGCAAAATCAATCACAAAGCAATTAGATGATAAAGAATAAGGATAGAAGTGACTAATTTAAGATTCATAACTCACAAAAGTGCAAGCAGAAGCATCTCATATATGTTATAGTCAAGACTTGCGTTACACTTGAAGAAATCACATCCAACCAGTATACATAAGTTTGAGGGGAAAACAAAGAAGTTGTATTAGTCATCAATGATAAAATACAAACATCAAGGATCGTATTTATAATTCAAAGACAAAAAATTACTAATTTCCTAGAATATTACAAGATCTGGCCTAAAATTGCAACTTTGCAAGTTTCAACTCAACACACTTGGATTCCAGTAAGAATAGGAACACACAAGTCTAATTTATTATGCGTTGAATGATCATGGAAACCACAAGTCAATCAATCTCGATAGAGATTTTTGAGCACACAAATTAAGGGTTCTAATCATTAGATCGATCCTCTCATGGCTGTTAAATTACAATCCGTATGGCTCCTCTTCTAGCGGCCATCTCCTCTTAGAGACATTTTTTTTTCTTTTTTACAAATAACTTCGATTTAATCTATTGTACGATTTATAGAGAAGTGTATATACACTTCCAATTTTATTAGAACTTCATATTCAAATAAAGAGATAGATTTAATTTATGTTGAATACTCAAGTTCATATTTAGGAAAGATTAAAAAATTCAGGGTCACAATCAAACATTAAATTCAAATTCTAATTAAAGGCTTTGTTTAAATATGATCCTAGGTTGTATTTAAGTTACAAGTTCAATTTCTAATTGATGATTATGTTCAAACTCAAACTCAATTTCAAATTTGGATTACAATTGCTCGAGTATAGTTTGGAATCATAAACATGTTCTAACGTAGGTGCATATTTAAATTCAACATCACAGAGATTCACATTGTTGCTTCAAATCAATTTTTATATTAAAAGAATCCTCAAAAAAATATTCATAAACTACTATTTCTTTGATTAGATCGCATTTGATGACGCAAGCTTCTTATGTCAGTGAACAATTCACAGACTTTACAGGATAAGATCATGATTTCTCTTTAAGGACTTTACACACAAATTGTAGTAGTCCTAACATAATGATTATAATCTATCTTAATAATATTCATAAAGCCTCAAATAACATGCTTGGAGAATTATAGCTTAATTCATTACTAATTTCTCATCCAAAAAACTTGACAGGAGGTTTCTACAGTGTAAGCAACAGGTTCATGTTCCTTCAAATGATTCAGAAGTTCCAAAACAAAGAATCTGGATGAGGAGTTGCAAGATCACTCAAGAAGAAGATGGTACACAGTTCAAGAGTTTAGAACTCGAATCTTGGGAAGAAAAGATTGATCAAGGTGGAAACACCTTTATTTCAGCAAGCGTTCCCATCAAAATAGGCACTATGATATTCTCCATTCATCTCCTCTTGTTCAAAAAATTCATATCAGAGCTAAGGAATTGGAGTTTTGATAGTGTTGGCAATATAAGAGAAAGAGAAGTTCACCTGGCAAATGATATTGGACTTTGGAGACCGAAAAATGAAGGAATTGTGAGAGTAAATAAGATTTAGGATTTTACATTACAAAATAAAACTAGTATAAAGTGAAACTATCCAATTGTCAATCACGTATGCAATGCATTCACCAAATAATTAGAAGAAAGGAAGAAGGATGGAAGTAACCGATTTGCATGAGTATTATGCCATTATAAAAAGAAGCATCCTCCTAAAAATTGTCAAGGGCAACACACTCAAAAATTTGAGAAACAAAAAATCTAAAATAGTCTCTCGACCATTCATATGTTGCCAATGCATTCCAAGGGTAATACATTTCTCCACTTTACTCACTCAACTACGTAAATTTGATCCCAAACGGCCCATCAAATACAAACTAATGAAAATTGGGATATAAATTGAAGTCATTTTACTCCCTCAAATATACAAAAATGATCTCAATTTAGACCATGGATCATTTTTGGATGGTGGAGAGAATAAATTGGAGAAATATGATAATATGACATTAAATTAGTCACATATGAATAGTTAGAGTACTATTTTGGGCATTTTACCCGAGAAATTAGCATCCAACTAACACATTTTTGAAGAAAAAGTAGCAAATTTTCTTCAATAACTTGCGACAAAATAGTGCATCAATTGTCAAATTTATATTAGCCCAAAAGACCCAAAATTAGTAATTTCTCATAATCCCTAAAACTTCAGGTTTATTACACCAAACTTTTATTCCACTAAGAATTGAAAGTTTCCAATTCATCATGGACAAAACAATAAGATACGGGTGTTGCTACAATGTAAATTCAAGTATATAAGGTAAGCGTGCAGTCAAAGATTTGAACAGTACGAAAGTTGAGATAAAATAACAATACTACTAGATGAAGAAGCAAACAAATAGGAAATTCCATAGAATTAAATTACATCTTGCACAAGAAAAAGAGCAGCAATAGTAACCTTTAAAGTCAAGCATTAATCAGAACTTCGATAAAAAAAAAACAAGGAGAACTTACCCTGTGCTGAAGAAAAAAAAACTAGAAACAATTGAACAAAGGCATTTAATAAGAGTTGAATCAAAATAACTTTCAGTATCAAACCAAACCAATGGGATAATAAAAATATTAGAGAATACATCTTGTTCTCATAGGCACCAACATCATATGCGTATTGCATTCAAACTAGAAAAAACAAAGAATAATATAACAAGAACAACGCAAAACTCAATGCCGAAATACAATGCTTTCGAAAAGTATAGTATTCCAAATTATATCAGTAATAAGCCCGTAAATTCAAAGAGTAAAAAAAGCATTAAATGGGATTATATGAGTTCAATGGCGCCAAAAGCCTTACACATTTCTCCCCCATTTATCAACAGCAGCAGCAACTTTAGCATCTGTCCCGTGTCCAGTGCTCTTAAGATAATAACCAAACGATTCCTTTGTTGGATAAGGGAGCTTGCAGAAGGTTTCCTTCTGATCAGAGAAAATAAAACGTTGCTTTCTAAAATCAAAGTATATCTCATCAACATTACTAGATGATGGCCCCACAACCTGCATAAGAAAAGAGAAATGTCACATAGAATCCCATCTAGAATGTCTTGACTACTAACATCAATATTATTATATTATTTGTCGCATGCAAGTTCATGGTAAGTTGATGTTCATTAGAACATGAAAGAACCCTCAACAACCAATTTACATGATAATTAATAATTATAACAATTTTATTATTATTCTTAAACATTGATAATAATGTTAATACTTATATCTATATTAATAGAAATGTTCTTATTAACATATAATAGCATTAATAGTAATGTTTATGTAACATGCTATCTAAAAAATATGGGTTGCATAAAAACATAGTGCTCCAAATTTAGGCAAAACCTGTGATTTCAGCTAAAAAAGGGACAATTTTACCTGAATATGAGAGAGAGAAAAGAACAATGTAGACCAAAATAAGGAAATAAGAGAACTGCTTCTAAAGATTTATTGTGACTAAATAAGTATACTTATTTTGATAGGGACAAAAGTTATATTCTCTATCAGGAAGTAAAATGAAAACAATAAAATAAAAAAATTTCTCTTTTCTTATATGGGTTTTAGCCCCTGAAATCCATAAAAAAGGGTTCATATAACCACAAACGAGTGTGATGATAATAAACATGCATGTGCATAAACCGCCAGATATTCAGATAGTGAGATTCAACTGATGGAAGATAATAATAAACAACAAACAAGTGTCATAAAATCAATATATGAAATGGATGAAAACTAATAATGCATAAGAACCACAAGACAGACATCCAGAAAGTGAGACACAATTGATGGAGGATACTATGCCCAAACTGACTGACTTCCCTTACAATCTTTCTGGCCAATTTGCTTGCTGGTTTAAAGATAAGCCAGAAATTGATAGGTGAACCAAAGTGCTGGAAGCTGTCATATGAAACCACTGATGGAAATTTATCAAGTTTCTGTTATGTTAATCTGATTCAATAACTGGGCGGAAAACAAGCCCCAAGTAGCAACAAATATCAAAAGTAGAGGAGAAATTTTGGAATCAAACTTGCGTCTCACTGACACTATATATGAATGATTTCTAGCTAAAATACAGATTTTTAATAATCAAGACAGATACATTGTCATTTTCTACTAAATAATTAACACCCATGTAACAAGGACATACAAAGAAACTCTTTTACTTTTATAATCAATATACTGGTTGACAAAGCAAAAGATGGTTCTTAACTTATAATTTAACTTGCCGTTGAACAAAGCTGCTTAAGTAGCCTAAATTACAAAGAAAATTATAGATTTTCCACACTTCATTTTATATAATAGATTAGATACTGTGGAGGGCGAAAGATGTACATAAGTTAGCCAAGCAAAAAGATAGAAGTATGGATATAGTTAAAGTGAAGTGCATTAAGGATTAAGATCAAAAAGTGCTTTTATTAGAAAAAAGATATTCAATATAGGTAGATGAGATATTTCGATAAACTTTTCAACGAAGATTGTGAGAAAACGGTTTACTTTAGTGACCTTAGCATTCTAAATGAAAATTGAAATTTTTATTTTTATCATCATATTAGTAAAACAGAAGTTCGAGAGGTTTTAAAGAAAATGAAGAGTGGAAAAGAAGTTGGACCATTCCAATAAAGGTGTAGAAATGCCAAGGAATTTAAAAAATTTCTTGGTTTACTAAACTTTTTAATATTATTCTGAATACTAAAAAGATGGTAGATGAGTGGAGGAGTGCGTTGATTCATATTTTTAAGAATAAATATGATACACAAGAGTGTGCAAATTATAGAGGAATTAAGTTAATGTATCATACATTGAGCATATGTTACGACGTAATACTAATGTTTCTCAAAGTCAATTTCAATTCATATCAAGTATACTATGAAAGCTATACATTTATTGAGAGATTTGATAGAAAAGTATGGAAAGAATAAGGAGGATCTGCATATGATATTTATTGATTTATAGAAAGCATATGTTAAAGCTCCAAGAAAAATGCTCTGAAGAGGTCTAGAAAAGAATGGAGTTAATGATGCTTATATTCTAATCATTAAGAATATGTGCGTAGGAGTTCTTACTTGTGTTCAAACACAAGGTGATTTGACCAAGTAATTTCCTATTTCAGTTGAATTATACCAAGGATCAGCTTTAAGCTCATATCTTTTTGCTTTATTCATGGATGTTCTTTCTAAACATTTGCAAGAGGATGTACCCTAGTGTATGTTTTTTGCTGATGATATTCATCTTGTTGATAAGACTAGAGAGGGAGTTAAAGAAAATTTTAAATTATGGAGTTCAACCTTAGAGTCTAAAGATTTTTGTTTGAGTAAATCTAAAAGAATACATGAAGTGTAATTTTAGTGGTATTAGATCTAACTGGGAGATAATAACTTTGGGTAATAAATTCATTAATAAGAGTACACATTTTAAATATTTCGGGTCTACTGTTCAAAGTGATGGTAAAATAGATGGCGATATTATTAGTAGAATTCAAGTTTGATGGTTGAAGTGGAGGAATGCTTCTTATTGTGATAGAAAAGTACCCCTCAAACTTAAGGGAAAATTCTATAAGATGGTAATGAGATATGTAATGCTTTATGGAGTAGAATGTTGGTCTTTAAAAGAGAAGCATAAAAATAAGTTAAGTGTTGCATAGATGAGGATGCTCAGGTGGATGAGTGGCTTTACTTTGAGAGACGAAATGCAAAACGAGTATATACATGAAAAGATTGGAGTGGCTCCAGTGGCATATAAGATTAGAGAGTCGCCATAGATGTTTGGTTTGGTCACATAAAACGTAGGTCCTCCAATGACCCGGTTAGAAGAGTAGATATATTAGTTCTAACCTATGTTAAGAAATGTAGAGGTAGACCTAAAAAGACTTAGTTAGAAAGCATTAAAATGATTTTTTTTATTAAATTTAAATGAGAAATTGACTCTAAAAAGGACAACGGAGAAAAAGAAATTCATTTAACCGACCCCACATAGTGGGATAAAGGCTTGATGTTGTCATGTATTACCCTAAATCATAAATATTTCTAATAAAAAAATTAAGAAAAGATAACAAAACTTTAAGCAGGTTTCAGTTGCCCTGTTATAGCATTAGGCAAAATAGACAAAACAATGAGATGATTTGCATTAAAATATCATCAATTATTAACTAAATTGACAAATTAGGTTCCAGAAACTTACAGGTTTTTGGAAGTGAAGTGGAACAATTTCTTTAGCACCAGAAAACTTAGCAGGAATAACTTTGCATGCATCTGCAGAGCGAATCTCACTGACCTGCCAAATCCAAAAATATAAGATGATGAAACGTGTCATGTCATGCAGATAAGCAAAGACATTGTATAAAATTGCAAGATAACAAAAAGAAAATATATCTCCATGAAGCTGGGTAGCTAGGAAATGACTATTATATTCTTTGACAAAAGATGTATTCTTTCAACAGTGCATGTTTCATCTAAATTTGTCATATCAACAGAAAATAATTATTATGCTTACCAAACTAGACTGCATATAGATCATAATACTCAGTCCTTTCACATATAAAACAAGAAAGTGGCAGATTAGTCAAGCTTACTATAATTTAAAGATAACTTCACCACAAAAAATATCAAATTGTTCAATCCTCATCAAAAAACCATTCCAGAATCAAACATGTCATTTACCTTACTGAACCGGACGAAGCATTTGAAATCAACTGACCACGCAGTGAAAAGCAGCACCAGGATGTGAAACCCAGCAAGGCCACCAAGAATGATCAGAGCATCAGTAAATTCGAGGCTGGGAACCGCCAAAAAGAGCCATATGCTATAAAGAAAAACAAAGGGTAACACGTCCAGGCGCCAAGCAGTATGCCGCCTCTTCATCAGATCAACCGCTTCAACTACCTTGCCTCCAACATGGAATCTCACCATCTTTCCCCACTAAGCACCGAAGCTCTATGATCACCCTAGAGACTAGAAATAACCGATAAAGCTATAATTTTTTTTTTAATTCGAATACCGACATACTTCAAGCATCCGAACCAGTAAAGCGAGAGGACGCATATGAATCGATTCTGATCTTTCGTCTCTAATTTGGCGAGGGTATAATACAGGACGACGGAATGACGAAGCTAAAACAAGATAGGGTTAGAAGAGAACAGAGGCAGGCAAATCAGGATAAGAAGGATCCGACGCCGCCGTTCGCACATAGATCTCGATCTGACGGCGGTCGGAGTTACCTCCTAAAGAACAGTCGGTCTGAACTCAGCGGAGCAAGCGCCTGGTAGAGGAATGTGAGGGTTTCCAACGGGGGAGAAATGGTCTGGTGACTTTGTATAGACTGGAAATCGTATTTCAGCTTGCAAGCGACCCTGAGAACGCGTTCTTACCCGAATCAACCTGAAATTTTGCTATAAAAGTTTAGGGTTGCCAATATGCATTAAAATGTGTGTAATCATAAATTTTTAACAAACTATGAAAAAAAAACAAATTAAAATAATTTAGGGTTTATTATTAATATTTATAGTTTTGAAAAAAAAAATCTCAATTAATAAAAAAATAGTTACTAAATCAACTTTATTAGTTATACATGATAATAAATGTCAATCTATATCATATTTAATTCTAGAAATATAAAAAATGATTTGTTAAAGAGGCATGTTATTTATTTTAGAATGATCTCATAATATTTTTATCAAAATTTTTTTGTGCATTATCTATCAAAGCTTAGATTCATTAATTAATTTAATTGTCCCCCGACATGATCCATATATTCATCTTCTTCAAATCATTGGGTCACTTCCTAGCAAGTCCCTTCCCTCACGAAATTGTCGTTGCCTTTGATCTCATTCTAATGTCAACTCTTATGAAATAGCATATATAACCACCTTGAAAAAGGGATGATGTCATTGTGATTTCATAATTAATCATTTTAATGGTTGATCTATTATGTAAATAAGAAAATATTTTTTCTAGCGTTTAAGACTGCACCTTACGATTCTTCCTCCTGTTTCAAATGATCATTTATCCCGTTTGTCATCGCCCACTCCTACAAAAGAGAGAGGATGACACCATCTTCCAAAGTTTGCTTCACAAGTTTTGATTTTTTAGATGTATGCTAGCATTCTACTAGATTTTGGTGTCAAAATCTCCTTAGTCCCTAACTCCTCCCACTTCCTACACATATTAACTCTAATCAAAGAGCCAAGGAGTTATCCTTCAATTAGACTATCAACAACTTTTAAGTACACACCATCTTTTATTTAGTTTGAGCCTCTAGCTTTAGGAAATTCATGGACATCCTTAAACTTACATGATAAGTATAATCTCACAACCGCCTTCCCCACCCCTTGCCCCCTCGAGTATGCATTTCAAGCTTCCCCTCTATTATCATCGATGAAATGAGTTAGTTTTCCTTAGATCATTCCCAAATCTTTTGCAAGTGTCCATCTAGTAACATTGAATAATGGCTTTAGAGCCCAATATAAGAGGTTAGAGTGATATTTTTACTCAATAAGTTCTTAATTCCATGACAATCTATCAACTCATTGAGCCTATAACTTGAATATGTCAACTACTCCACTCATTAGCTCTTTAAGTTGATGGCACCAATCATTTAACAACTCAAGTTGATGGCACTTCATGTCAACCCTTAAGGCGTCGGCTAAAGCCTCGAATCATGTATGACTCAAAGAAAAGTTTCTAAGTAAAATAACCTTATAAACTTGTGATATATAAGTGGAATGTCATTGTAGTATTTGGTTACATGCATTTATGCCACAAAATTCAGACTAAGAAAATGAAAGCCTTGTCGGCTCATATTCATTATGCATGGTCTTAAGATATTCTAGCTAATCAGTTGAGGTAATATTGGTTCTTTACATCATAGATTTACTCTCATATGCATTCAAGTCATATCACATATAGGCTAAAATTATAAGGCCTATTTATTCTCCCTTTTTAGTTATACCTTTCTTGCATTGCATCGAGAATTAAGGAAACTATTTCTAAATCATTTAAGTAGAATTAGAAGACATTTTTTATCCAAAGAGTATAATCTATATCATAAGCTATGTTGACACTTTTCCCTATGATTAGGAATTTTGGAGGGTTTTTACCTAGTACTAGGCCCCTTCTCCCCTTTGGGATTTTGCCTTGTGTATTCATGAAAATATAAATATATATATATATATATATATGTGTGTGTGTGTGTGTGTGTGTGTGTGTGTATCTACCCTACATGTTTACGAGTCTCTTTGGAACATGCTCTTATTTATATAAAACAATATTCTTAGAACTCTTTTTGTATTGAACCCAAAAAAGAATAAACATTCTAAGTAAGAGTTTCCTAGAACATGTCACCCAAAATATAATAAATTATGATTAGATCTCCTATAACTAAATAAACTATATTTGAGTATCCTTATCGTTTATAAAAAATCTATGTGACATATATTGTTACCATCCATTGATTCTTATGCATATAAAAATAAGTTGTGATCTCTTCTCCCTCTATCAGGAGTGATTATTGTGTCCGGACATTGAACTCGTCCAGAGACTAATAACAGCGCGCCAGGTCACCTGGGTGCTCGATACCGAGCACTTGGTATTGCTCGGTATTCGTCCAGATTTTCAATTTTTTGTCAGGACGTAATAGCTTTTTCTCTATCAGACAACTCAACCTAATGTTTTCTCTTAAAGTAATTAGGCTCCTTAGAAGTCTATAGCTTGTACACATACACAACCCTATTGGGGGAAATTATATTTACATTTAAGTGTAGGCAAAATTTTAGGTACGAAGGGTGGTCGTCACTATTTTTTGTTCTTTTTTAATTTTTTATGAAAAAAAAAATTACTTTTTGCAACCAAATGAGTTATAATATGATAGCAATGAAAAAACTATTGTATGACATTTTAAAAAGATATTTATGCAGCAACAACAACAACAAATAACCTTTATTCCACTACATGGGATCAGCTACCTAAATATTTTTCTCCATTGTGTCATATTAAGAGTCAAACTCTCATTTATATCCAATAAAGAAAGCTCGTTTCTAATATTTTCTTAGCATATATTAAATCTAATACATTGACTCTCCTAACCGGATCATCAGAAGGCCACTATTTTATGTGACCAAACAATCTAAGACAACTCTCTAATCTTATTTGCCATTGGAGCTACTCCAACCTTTTCACATATATGCAAAAAAGATATTTATGATACAACTAAAATTATTTTTTCTTTCAACTTTTTTACAACTAGATATACAAAAAATTACTGGCGACAAGCAAACCTTTAATTGGCTTTCAATAGCCTTTTTGTTTACAATTCTAAATTCAAGCTGATTCCAATCCTAGATGAAACTGAATGGTATTGAAATTCGAATACACATAATAACTTGAGAAGTAGTTGAGATTTCTTCATTTCCAGTGATTCACATCGAAAAGAAACGAGAAAGTTTAGCAAAGGAACCCATAACAATTACTGCCATGAGCCCCTAAGTATTCAAAACCATAGAGAGGAAAAAAGAAAAGCAACATCAATACATTCATCATTCACCAACAAACCATACGTCTGATCTATGGAAATCCTGTAACATTTGATAGAGTACATTACTTTCTTCTAATAATGTGTTTAACATCGAAAATGTTACAGCAAATTTGAACAAAGAAAGAAAGGAAGCTATTGCCTTATTACAATGGCAAAAAACAAATTACCACTTAAATATTTTAACTGTAATCTCAGGAAAATTATTACGTGCGGAGTCCATACGGGTAGAACTGTCCGGATTTGCTCAACAAATACTTACAAAATACTCATAAAAAACTTGTCAATATTGATTATTACTAAGTATTTGCTGAGTATTTACAAATACTTAACAAATACGGACGGTTCTCCCCATCCGAACTCCTCACAAAATAATTTCTCATAATCTTGACATTCCATATTGCGGAAGTGCGAATTACGTGTTTCTTTAGAGCTTTGATCCAAGCTTGATACCAGGGCCTTGTCTAGTTGGAAGTTTCAGGTCTTCCCATCCTTGGTCGTCCACCTTGGAGAAATACCGATCAACCATCGCATCATCTATTAACTCCAATCTCGAAGGTTCCCACTGCACGAGCAATGTGAAATCGCATGAGGATAAATAAAAATTTTCTATTGAAAACTTGAAATCAGTGAGGTGGAAATTGAACCTTTGGGTTTTTGTCTTTATCCACAAGCAAAGCCCTGCAACCCTGCCCATGACATTAGGACACTTGTGAGTGAGGTTAGAAGGTATCTATAGATATGGTCATCAGCAAACCAAGATCAAAGAGTATATGTGCAGTATACATGCTACATGGTAGGCCTAATGAAAGAGTTTTGCTACACCCTAAGAAAAAAATCTTCATGAAAATCACTTGGGCCCTAGTTTCATATGTGGCTTAAATAAGTTTGAAAAGTGTCATATGTTTTTGCATGAGAATAATTTTTACTGATCCACCTAACCAAATGGCAATGTTGGTGTGAGTTATTGTGTAGATTTATTGCTGCCACCTCATTTAGATCCAATGAAGACATACACCAAAGCATAATTTAACTCGTGTGGGACTCACTTGAGTGAAGAAGATGGCCAATTCTAGCTTGGTCTGTTCTAGCATGGAATAGTTTGAGACCAATTCCAATCTTTTGCATTCATTTGATCTGCAATTTGGCCAAGAAAGTCGTGCACAAACTTTGATCAACCCTTCATAGCTTGTGTCAAACAGGCCAAATCAAGTATATTTGGACTCCATTTCAATCAAAGTGAGCCAATATAGGCTCTGATTTAACTTTTTATTAGTGCCCTTAGATCCTTGAAGTTAAAAAAAAAGCTCAACTTGTTAAAGATTTTTATGATCTTCAAAATTGTCCTCTCATTTTTAGGCTGTTGAAAATCGTTAAAAAAGATACTCCTCAGTTTGCACTAGGGTGTCATGCCCATTCGCTTGCTCGAATTAAAATCAAAATACACATTGGAGCTTCCCTTATAACCCACATGAGACAATAGATAACATAACGATTTAAAATAGACATGGTTATTGAAGTTATAGTGAACAAATGAGGATTCATTGGCGATAATGGAGGCCACCAATGTGCTCCTCGTTGGCTTAATTAGTCATTGGCTTCCCATCAGCCTAGAGATAGTGGCCAAACTGATCTTTGACTAGTTAGGGCTCTTTGGGCATGTTTGTCCCCTAAACTCACTTCAATCATTTGGAGAGAAAAAGGATCAAAATAATCTCTTAACTCGTTAGGATCTAAATTATATTGAGAGATCATTTTGGTTCCACAGTTACAAATTAATTAAAAAAATATATAAAGGTGGCATGGTCGAAGGATGGAAAAAGGTTATATTCGGAATAACAAAAATTAAGCGATATCAAAATATACGAACCCAACATCCTCTTGTCGAAACCCCAACAACGAAAACACCCATTAGTTTCGAACTCTAGTAGTTTCGACCCCCTTCTTCGAACCCTAAGCAACTTAGACCCTCAGCTTCGAACACCAGCTTCCAACCCTCAACTGCTTCGACCCCCTTCCTAGAACCCTCAGTAGCTTTGAACCCCCACCCGCAGCTTTGACCCCATGCTTCAACCTTCAGCATCTTCGAAAATTATATGAGAAGTTATGAGTGCAACATAAAGCCTTTAAGCGGGGCTAATGAGTGGCCAATGAGTAACATGATACCACCATTGCCACCAAGGTATAATAAACCCAAGAGGGGTAGGCCATAGAAGATGCGAAAAGAGCTACCGACAAACACACATCACATTTAAATCCAAAAAAGTTAGGGAGAGCCAATGTGAAGCTTCATTGCCATAAATGTAAACACTAAACAAAGTGGACAAAACAACATAACTTGTGATAAAAGAATACATACTGAGGAGAGATATTGACATGCCCAGGAAGTTGTACAATCATTGATTGAAATTGTGAGTCATATTATCCCATAAATTTTGTTAACATAGATAAAAATTTGATTTAAAAAGTGTTTTCTAAACTTGTCCTTTGACCAGTTGGAGAGTTAAACACACCAACTTTGAAAATTCTCACTCAAGGATTTTTAAATACAAAACTTTTAGTAAGTTTATTTAATTTTTTTTCTTCATAGTTTATTTTTTGTTTTGCTACGTGAATCTAATCAAAGTTTCTTCTTTTCTATAGGTTTACACCTCTAGAAGAAAAAACTCTCATTGAATGAAATATTCATATTTTGGATCTTGAATTTTTGTATGGATGGTGTGGACGACAGTATACGAAACTTCTTATTTTATACTTTATTTCAACTTTTGAATGAAAAAAATAGAAAATGTAAGGATTTGCATAAATATTATGTTTTGTAATAACAAGAGAGTACTTCATTTTATAGTATTATGATACATTTCAACAGAATGGATGAAATTTTAGTTTTATTTATGTATTTTTCTGAAGATCTTTTAAATGTAATGACTCTAAGCTTCTTCAGAGCTTCTAAGCTTAATCATTGTAGGAGTAACAAGTGGTTCCCCTGCGTGATCTATTATATTAGAGCTTTGGCTGTTCTAATTTTATTGATTTTGAGCTTATGATATTCATTTGATTTTTCCGCTGTAGTGCTCAAGTTTTTTTTATGCTTTTGATTACTTTGTTCTCTTCTTTTGTCTTCATTTTCACTACCATTAATTAGAATCATCCTCACACATTTTATTGAAAATATCACAAAATCATAAGGTTGTCACATTTTTTGAAAAAAAGTGAATGTTTATTGTATTACCATAACTTTAAATTATATTTTTTATAAAAATATTGTTAAATATCCATTTTAGTCACAAATTTTTTTACCGATCATAATTTATAAAATAAGACTAAAATTTTTAAAATCATAATTAAAAATACTATTAATTTCTCTTATTAAAAAAACAATTAATAAAATGATCTTTAATCAAATTAGATTGAAATATTCGACTATAGCTAATAAATGGGATGACATTATACCTAATAAATATTGGGCATGGTAATTCGCTTGAATTCTTTTATAATCCTTTTGTGAACTTCTATTTGTATGTATTGTAGTTGAAAATTTCTTTGAAAAATTATATCTACTAAATAGTTTACTTATAAAATTCCTAAAGTACCCCTAATTTTAACACCATTAAGTCCAACATCCATTAGTTTGGATGGTGAGACAAAAATGATACCATTTTACGATTTGAAGGACTAATGGTCGCTCTATATAGTTGGAGGCTATTTTGGTCTTTTCTAAAAAGTTAAGGGACCATTTTGATCCTTTTCCATCATTTGAGTTTTCAATGAGGTCATATGAGTCAATTCAAGCATGTTGGGACATTGATTCCGTGAAATGGAGCCACAATAGACTTGGTTTCAACTTTCAATAGGTGCCTCCAGATAAATGCGTGGAGTAAAAAATTGTGCTTGACTAGCTAGGAGTTTATATGATCTCACCAAATCATGTTAGCATTAACTGTTTATTGAGGACTGCAAAAGAAATCAGAAAACAAAACTTCAGCCATCCCTTGCATGTTCATATATATGGCATACAGATATAAGTACCTCGAAGAAATCCTTGCTTGCCTCTTTGCGCAGAATGTGACAACAGATTCTATAATCCTTAGTAAGGCATTGACCTATGCTTTGTAGGCGCCCTTCTCTGATCTGAAAGAAAAATAAGTTCAACTTAAAAGGATTACATTTGGGTATTGTAACAAGAAATCTCTAACAAACTGTGACAGAAACTAAAATAATCTAAAATGTAAAATATTATCCATATAGAAAAGTTATACTTACTAATTCCGTCACAATTAAAAGCAATAAAAAATAATCACAAAAGCACAAATGGTGACCTGACTACCATCTATTAACTGAGGAGTATATGCTAGTCCATACCGATCGAAGAGAGATCTTTAGACTCAAAGGAGAAGCTTTCTTTAAAGACTGAACTGCGGCCAGAATCCACTCAGTGTTATTTACAGCCTCCTGCTCCTGCAATGCAAGGAGAGATAAGAAGACATTTTTTACCCAAAAAATTGAGAACTGATAAATTTACAAAATGGCAGGATATCAGTTAAAATGATCAATAAGGAATAGTGAAATTATAGAAAAAAATCACATCAACTGGATATGCACAGAAATCAACTTACAAGGGCTGACAGAATTTCTTCAACAGAATTCTTTGAAAAGCACTTGTCAATAACATCCAATCTGCAAAAAAGAATTAAATACATCTTTATAAGTGTAAAATGTGCTCGTAGGTTAACAATATATGGTTAGGAATGGCCACGGGATCACTGCATGACTACTCGACTCGAACCATTTTGAAATTATAAGGCATTAAAAATCCAATGCCAGCAACATATAAATGACAAATAACATGTTTTCACACACAAATCTCTCTATGCCAATTAATTAACAGATAATTAAAAAAGCGATGATAGAAAGATAAACTACTTCAAACTATAAAAACAACAAAATAATCAGACTTATTAAGAGGTGGTTTGGTTGCCTGAAAAATAAATACGGTGTAAAATGAATACTTCGAAGTTGTTTGGATGATTGTAAACGGAACGAATGAGATTATTATTTTTGTTTAGTTTGAAGTAAAATGAATGTAATGTAAAGTGCAAAAAATAGCAGTCGTTGGCAGATGTTGGCAATTACATGGCCGATGGAGGGAAGCGAATGGCCGGTGGTGGGCAGCGGATGGCCGACTACGGTGGTGGCCAGAGGCGGTGGCGGCTGGAGATAGTGGCAACTGGCGGTGATAGGTGGCGGTGGCAGTTGGCAGCGCTGGTAGCAATGGTGGTCGGTTGCAAACGATGGTGGAAGCGGTTGTGGGTGGGTGGCAGACAACGATGGGAGGCTGATGACGACGACGATAATGGAGGCTGATGCCAGTGTGAAGTGGAAGGCGATGGCTAGCGGCGGGAGATGGCCAATGGCGGCGGTGGTGGTCAACGGTGGCTGATGGTTGCGGGCAATGACCAACGGTGGCAGGTGGTGGTCGGCGGCTAGAGCATGGCAACGACAGGCAGCGACAATTGGAATGAATTTTCGGTGTGTTTGAAAGTTACTGAAATCGGAGAAAATTCCAATACACCAACAGTGGACTGGACGGTGTATTCCAAATGCAACAACATTTTACACTGCATTTATTTTACTTTAAATCAAACGACAATATTTTTCAAAACCCCTGCATAAGAAATACTTCACTTCTAAGTCCTAATGCATGCAACCAAACAACCCCAAAGTGTAGAATAAAAACACCTATTAAATGACTATTTAAACTTTATACGAGAGTGAAACTATGGTGACTTGAGTCAAATTTGCTAGTGTATAGGGCCTATTAACCTAAAGACTTAAGTCAATGAATTTGGACCATGAATAGTATATTAGAAACTTAACCCTTGCATCCCTTCTAACATGGGATAGCTCTCCAATCTCATTTGCATCTCAGGAATCTTCCCACGTGAACTCACTACATGGCAATCATGCCCCCTCGAATGGAAGTATTTTAATACCATTATCATACACCAAGAGCTCACTCAATAATATGAAATATGAATCCTGAATACACCTATTCACAAACCATGTTGAACCATGGCAAAAACTACCATACTAATGAAAGCCACAAAAAACTACATGAAACCCTTGATCCCAATCGAATCACTGATTATTACTAAACTTTTTTACTACAAATAACTTTTTATACATATTTGCAGAAATTTCATTGCTCCATTTGAGATCTCGTACTGCAATATTCCAAATGAAACATTTTGAGAAATAATCAGCGTGCAAGTTACAACCTTGTCATTACATGAGATCCTAATATTCTTGGTTTATGAATGCCTGCTTTAACTCCAAGCAGTTGCAGAAGAAACTTTTTCTCAATAAAAAAGAAAGTAAAGAAAAATTTATAAAAATTTCAAGAAGCTTTAGAAAATTCTAAAATAATTCCGGTAGCCAGGTTAAGTATCTCAATCATTCTCGAGATTGTATTGAAGCACACGATCTCTCACTTTCAACCTAGTGCAAACTATGCAAATAGTTGAAATTCCAGAAAATATAACGAATTGGGCATACATACAGAGACAAAATATAATGTCTACCAAAGCTTGATCCTCCACATGCTACGTTTGGAGTACAATAATCCAAATTACAAAAGGGTAATTACAAATCCTATAGCCTCATGAGTAGATTTGATCTTTTTGTCAATAATCTAATCGATACTCTGAAATATTTGATGCATTTGCATAATGTCTCTAAGAAAATTTATTAAATGAGAAAACTTCATTGGCTGCTTGTTCATATGATAGGATCGCAGGCCCCAATCTTTGGGCTTCTCCAACATTGGAGTTGTAAACGTTCCACTTTAAGGCCTGATCCTCTACATATGAGGGTAGATTAGATAATTCTTATAACTAAATTTTTGACCTCCTTTTTGGCATCGATCACTTGTATGGTCACCTTCATTGCATATTTCGTAGATCGATCCATTTACTTGCATGTTGCACCACTGTGTTTGATGAAGGGGCACCTTGCACATTCTACCTCAATTCGTCGTCATCTTTGGGGATTTATCTCTTTTGATCACATATCGTCAATTATCATGTTTTAAGATTCATGTGGTCGGGGTGGCGTCGATTTGACAATATGCTATGCATTTGAACCTTAATTGCACATGTTTGTTCCGTGCGTAATATCTTTAGATCCGGCCTCGTTTTGTAAAACGGATTGCAAGAGCGCACTCAGATTGCCGAGCTCTTTCAAACGGGTCCATTCGCGCTAGAATTGGACACTGTTTGACGCATGTCGAGCAGAGAGCTTGAGATCCTTATTACTATTGTTACCATCATCATTATTTTCAAATATATAATATAAAAATACATATATTTTTTGTTAATTAAATAAATATAATAAATTAATATTTAATTAAGATATAAAAATATAATCAATATATATATATATATAAGAAATTGGATAAATTGTCACACCGTCATCTTTTATTGATAGGATAACCCCTCTAAGCCATTACTATCATCAAAAGAAGTACTTTCTTCCAAAGTGTTCCAAGACATTGGTGGTGATTAAAGCTACCACCAACGATTGCAAGAGCTATATAATTTTTAAATGCAAAATATATGATATTATGTATGAAATTATATGTAAACAATTCAATAAATTCAATGGAACAAAAATTAAATTTTCTTTAAAAAATAATTATAATTAATTATCTAATTAATCAATAATTATCATATTTAGCAAATTTAAATAATAAAATTAATTTGCTAAAATAAATGAAGCTTCAGTAGTATGAGATATATAGTATATTGGATATATAATTTTTACGGTTTGAATTTTTCTTTTGAAATTCAGCCAATACAATCTCATAAGAAAAGTAATCTTTAAATAATAAATAATCATCAAGTAACTCCCTATACATGTCCACAAAAATATATATGATTGTGATATGAAAGATAATAACAGCGCTAGGAGAGATCATTAAACAATTTAGATCACAAATGTAATGATAACTCTATCTCATATGCACAAGTCATTATATGTATGAGTCAACAAGTAAACATGCAATGCAAAATCCAATTGATTACTCAAAGTATGATGATATTGGCAATGATAGCATGCTAAGTGTGATTATGAAAATATAAAGATTAATGTAAACATTCATTCACAATATTAACTTGTGATCATATTACCGTTAAATCATTTAACAGGTAAATCAAGTTAAGTGCATGTAAAGTAAATCTAACTATAATGAAATATGATATAATGATATTTATATGATTCGGCCCTACTCGGGTTGCATCCACATCTAAATAACCCCTCACTTAGAATTCCACAACCAATCACTTTTTTTCCTGCAAATCGGTGTAAAAACATCACGCCTTCCTTCTTAGGGCAAGAAGGCCATCACCTTAATTAGGAACAAAAGCAACCCTCTTAAGTCAAAACTTAAAGACATAAGAAATACATTCTTCCAAGTCTTCCAAGACTTTTGGCGATGACTAAAGTTATCATCAATAATCATAAATGAAATACAATCTCTATTTAAAATAATTAAAAAATAAAAAATAAAAAATTGCTTATATAAAAATTTATAGAGATTGAAAAGAAGAGATCATCATAAGTGGAGGAATCAAGGATATTTTCTCATGGACGAATATTTTGAATCCTCCTCGAGATATAAATTTTTAAACATGAGTTTTCTCCTATTTTTCTATAACATTGAGTGGAATGATCAATATTTAAGCTATCAGAATACACACACGTGCTAGGACAATAAAGCAATGGTAAGGGAACAAGTCAATTGAAAGAATGACAAAGGGCCCAAGTTGACGTGTACTCGATAGCAAGGGTTGAAGGTACTTGAGAAAGCCATAGAGAAAATACAAAGCGGGTGAGCTTATCACAAGCAACTGAAGCAAGAAACTGGTCCTGTAGAATGCGTCGAGCAAGGATGCATGAATGTATCTTGCGAGATTTGGGATTTGGTCATGTAGGATCAAAATGAAATAATTGAGAGAATGTGACTTGCGGGAGGCTGAACACGTTGGTTGTGTGAGATTTGAAGGCCACATTTGTGATTGGGAAGGCTTAGGACTTAGGTTTGCATGCAAAATGTAAAACCCGAAAATACCTTTTTACACCTCGCACGCTTTTCAAAGTGCCACGACAAGATTTAAGTAAAATTTTCAACATTAACGGAATTTGGCGAAAATAATTTTAGAAAATTTCTTGCAAAATTCTGATCATTTTGATATATAGGACTTATATTTAATTAAGAGTATTTTGGAAATTATAAAATTCGGAAGTTTCATAATGACGATAATACCCCTAACTGTTTTATATGCCGAATTTACTCAAGTGAGGGTAAAATAGACTTTTGGCAATCCTCCTTTCTCCCTTGATAGGCAAACCGAGCCCTCTTTCTCCCCCATTCACGCGAACCAAGCGGAAACGAGAGGAGAGGCGGATGGGCGGACAGTGCGGGTTCTGCAAGGGTGGCTCCGGCGACGATCTTCCGACGAAAGATTTAGTCCAAATTGAAGAGGAAGACGAGAGGAGTGTTCCGGTATGATTATTTTAAAACGAAACTTTCTAGATTTCAAGATTTTTGGAGATGAAATTTTTAGGGTTTTTGCTAGAAAATGTTTTCTCCCAAAATTTCTTTAAGAAATTAATAAGGA